ATCATCATCATCATCATCATTGATCCCAAAATTTATGTTGCCAAGTGAGGCAGTTGTTAAGTTGTGAATTTAGCCCCATTTTAATGACCTTTCTTGCCACAGCTGTTCAGCGACTCACTGCAGCTGTTAAATTAGCAAAACAGGCTGTTGAAAGTGAGTCTGGCTTCCTCATTGACTTTGCTTGTGAGACAGTCGCGAAAGATGATCACGTGATGCCGGGACGCTGCAACCGTCATAAATCTGAGTCAGTTGCCAAGCGGCTGAATTTTGATCACATGACTGTGGGGAATGCGGCAATGGCGATTAAGTGTGAAAAGCAGTCACTTTTTTCAGTGCCATTGTAACTTGGAACGGTCACTAAATGAATGGCCGTAAGTCGAGGACTGTCTGTACACCATGACTTAGTTCAGCGTGCAAACTCAGCCGGCGCTGAGAGTGGAAGGGAATGAAGGTTCCAGTTTCTGCCTGCCGCACGCCAAATGTGTTATTATTCCCCAAAAGATTTATTTGCTCCATGACTTGGCTGGACATTTTGCCCCGATAATTGGTTGCTAAGTTGTGGGAACAGAGAAAACGTTGTCCGTTGCTTGGAAAATTGCTCATTCCCTGAAGAGACCTATTTGAAGCGTCTGCAGTTGTCATTTTGGCTCTTGATTGTGCCAAGGAGAGAAATGGTGGCCGGGAGAAAGACTTGGCTGTGAAATTGGATAACAGTGGACTTTATGCTGTCTGCACAGCAAGCCCTTATTACTTCTCTAAATTACTTCTGTAAAACTCTATAATGGAGTTAATAGGACTGGTTGTTGCCAAGACAGACACTTCTGGGCATAATGTGAATATAATTCAGATGATGCATTTTGCAGCTTTTTTTTTTTTTTCAACTTGTCTGTGTGGAATAAGGGAAACCAAATTCCAGAATTCGCTTCCACAACACACTTAAATGAGTCATAGGTAGGTGTTGCAGGAATAACAAAAGGTGTCAACAGACTAAATTAACAGGGGTCAATATTAGACTAGACTAGACTAGACTAGACTAGACTAGAAATAGAATAGAAATATAAATAGAATAGAATAGGAATAGAATAGAAATAGAATAGAAATAGGAATAGAATAGAATAGGAATAGACTAGACTAGACTAGACTAGAAATAGAATAGAAATATAAATAGAATAGAATAGGAATAGAATAGAATAGGAATAGAATAGAATAGAATAGAATGGGACCTTGGAGGTCTTCTAGTCCAGCCCCCTGCGCAAGCAGGAGAACCTATACCAACTCAGATAGGTGAATGTCTAGTCTCTTCTTAAAAATCTCCAGTGACCCCAAACAAATCTAGTCTTGCAGACGGTTAAAATAACCCAGTTAGTTATGCTGCAGAAACAGCAGCATCCAACCCAAAAAGAAAAAATCAGAAGAGCAGAAGCTGTTTTCCAGAATCATCTACAGTCAATGGGGAAGCCAAATTCACTTAGCAATCATGTCACTGGCTTAATCACTGCAATGATTCACTTAACAACTGTGGCAAGAAAAGTTGTAAAACGGGGCAAAATTCATTTAATAACCATCTCGCTTAGCAACAGAAAGTTGAGGACTACAAGTAAATCTTCTTCTACAGGAAGTTGGTCCACACATCTTTATGAATGGTCGAGGTTGACCAACATGGCTTGTAGCTCTTTCTAGTCCATCCGGCAATCCTGTAGAAGACCCTCTTCTTATATCCAAACCTGCTTCGTTGTTTTTTTTCCAAGCCACGATCTCTCCCTGATGACTCTGGCCAGGAATTCTGAGCCCAATCTACCCTCCACATTTGTACCGCATCACATTCTGCTCTGTGGCTCCGTGGTATCCAAAGCAGAACACCCAGATTCAGCCACAGTTTTGTTCCATACAGTATTAACCTTGTGAACTCTCAAGCTTCCTCCTTCCGTTATGTATTCAAGATCGACAGTGATTAATATTTATATGTTACTTATATATAAGGGTGTAGGTCTGTACATATGTTGCATATAGTATATTTTTAAATGTATTATGTATGTGTACGCTTGAGAGCAAGCAACTAAATTTCATTTTTAATGTGCTGTTGTGCCCACAGGAAAAAAACGACAATAAAGGTTATCATTATCATTATCATTGCGATAAGGAATCCCCATGTAATCTAACTAGGCTCTCAAATGAAGACCGGGATAGAAATTAAACCAACCAACCTACTTTTGTCGTGGAGGATTTGCGCCCACCCATATCACGGGTTTAATAGATGGTTTACTGTGTGGCGAATCAGAAACTAGGGTCAGGGCTAAGTGTGTCTAAACATAATTATACAACCATCTCTGCTGCTTAGCAGCACATTAATTTTTAAACCCACCCAGCCCCCTTCTTTTGAGTTTCATGGAGAGCTACATTAATAATTCTCTCCTCCTATCCAATTGGATGCATCTGGAAGATGCAGCCCTAGACTGTGATGGGGAAGCATCTTTTGTGCGTGCGGTGGGACCACTTCTGCCTCTCCAGACCAGATGAAGCTGAAATCAACCCATCTCGTTGCCTTTTGAATCTAGAACAGGAGAGCAGAGGCCAATCTTGTTTTAAATTGCAAATATTCCCAGGCAGAAATGCTGGGTTGGCAGAGCTGAAAGATAAACTAAATAAAAGTTGGGAATTTATGCAGAAGAGCCAGCGAAACCTGGTGAAGTCACTCAAACGTCACTGATATCGGCGTAAAATAAGGACTTGGGAGGCTTCTGATGAATCTCAGGCTTTCCACTAATTGACCCAGAATGGAAAGTGGGTGCAAGCTGAGTGATTAATAAGGATCTTCTCCTGCACGCTTTTGTTGCTATAACTAAAGCAACTAGGGACAAAAAAAAAAAAACCAGGTTGAAAACTGCAGTGAGCTTACGGCTCTGGGTTTAGCTGTGTAACTGTGAGAAGCAGCGTGAGAAAAAAACATCCAGCCACTAGATGGCAGCAATGCCATACTTTAAAATCTAATTCTTTGCTGCCATCTGGCCATCAACTAGATTTTTGCAACCCATGTATGGGAAGTCCTCTTGTGTCATTTCAGCACTGGATTTTACTCAGCCCAGTTATAGAGCTGTGGCCTGGCCTTTTGAGTTTAGCGGGGAGATTTCAGCAGATAACAGAATAACAGAGTTGGAAGGGAGCTTGGGAGATCTTCTAGTCCTACCCTCTGCTCAAGCAGGAAACCCTATACCATTTCAGACAAATGGTTTGTCAGGGTAATGATTTTAACAGCTAAACAGCTTATGTAAAGATGGAGTGTAATGTGGATGATGCAATAATAAGAATGACTCAGCAGGTGTGGATATCCCTTTAAGAGTCTGAGTATAAAAGGGAAGTTTTTTTGCTGGAGTCTTTCTCTCTCGTCCGCAGGTGTATGTATCCCTTTAAGAGTCTGAGTATAAAAGGGAAGTTTTTTTTTGCTGGAGCCTTTCTCTCTTGTCAGTTTGACTGCTGTAATTGCTGTGTATTGGAGTTTCCTGTTTCACCACGTGTTTGTATTTTATTTCTATTGTATATTTGTAGATATAGTGTAATATAAACCACCATTTAATTACAAACCACTGTAAAAGGGGATCGCGGGGCCTTCAGGACACTGCACCTGTCATAAATACGAGTCAGTGGCCAAGCGTCTGAATTCTGACAATGTGACCAAGGGGATGCTGCCGTGGTCATGAGTGAAAAAGGGTCTCTTGTTTCAGTTGTAACTTTGAACAGTCACTAAATGAACTGTTGTAAGTCAACAATTGAGCATGGTGGACAATTGAGCTAGATTGGAAGGTGTTAAGAGGGCAACTAGCCTAGAACCCTTGCACTGCAGAAAGTGTCATAGGCTGACAGAATCTCTGAAGTCTTATCTGGCCACTCACAGCGGAATTCAGTCCGTCCGTCCAGATTTTTGTAACACAGGTGACAATAAAGCTTCTGCAGGTCATCCTCAACTTACAACCACAACTGAGCCTAAAATATATGTTGCTAAGTGAGGCAGTGAAGTGAAATTTCGCCCCATTTTACCATCTTGCTTGCCGTGTTCAGATAGTCACATGGTTGTTAAGTGAATCTGGCTTCCCCCATTTGACTTTGCTTGTCAGAAAGTCGCAAACGGGGATCATGTGACCCCGGGAGATTGCAACCGTCATAAGTTCATGCCAGTTGCCAAGCGCTGGAATTTTCATCACGTGATCATGAGGAGGATGCGAGGGTCATCGGTGTGAAAAACGGTCATAAGTCACTTTTTTCAGTGCCATTCTGACGTTGGACGGTCACTAAATGAACTGCTGCAAGTCAAGGACTACCTGTATTCACAAGTGGTTCTGATTGCTTGCACCTGACAGCGAGTTGCAAAAAGCTTGTGGTTTTCCGCAATTGAGATAGAGCTGGTAATTTCCCAGGGGATTTCAAGGATGTTGCAAGAGGGATACGGTAACCCTTGTTTCCCTTTCCATTACAAACTGCTTTTAATTCAACCAGGGAAATTCCCACGGGATTTAAAACCCTTGGGGGGAAAACAGGGAATTGGCACAGGCGCAAAGCATTTGCTCAATCTAACCCGCACTTTACTCCATTGATCCTCTCTTTAAAAAATAAATACTTCATCTTCCATATCAATCCTTCCGTTTTGAATTGGCTGCGGACAACATAAATTATACAACAAAATGAAACCAATAGAAAACCCCCCCCTCCCCCAGACCTTATTTCTGGCCTCAAAATGCAGTGAAGGAGGACAATTTTACATTTTATATATATATATATATATATATATATATATATATATATATATATATTACTTTGGGTAAGAGTTGCTTCCCCTCCTTTGGATAAATGTTGGGTATGATTTAAGCCAGGGGTCTTCAAACTTGGCCCTTTTATGACTTGTGGACTTCAACTCCCAGAATTCCTCAGCCAGGCACATGTGCCTGGCTGAGGAATTCTGGGAGTTGAAGTCCACAAGTCATAAAAGGGCCAAGTTTGAAGACCCCTGATATAAGCAATATGTCCCAAAAAGCACCTTTGAGTCAACCATGACCTGGATGACTGAGAACTTCTGCAGACATTCAAGTAACATGGTTTTTTTTGAAGGGGTCCCGTATCCAAAATGTGTGAAATTAAGATGAAGGCATCAAAATGCTGCGTTCCTAGGGATATGGAAGGGGGCCTCCATGAGTTGGACAGACTCACAGGTCCATCCCAGAATGGGCTTGACTGCTCAGAGTGAAACTCCAGTGGGTTTCGGACGCTTCCCCAGGCAATTGAGGTCAACTCCCAGTTCCTCAAGGAACCCACAAATGCCATTTCTTCTCACGGAAGCAGGTGCAAAAGATCTCAGTCAGTCCCGTGGCTGCCCGCAGGTGGAGGAGAGGCAGATCTGCTCAGGAGAATGGAGAGATGTTTCTTCTGCAAGAAGATCTGAAGGTCCTCCTGTGGCTTGGAGAGCACCATCAAACCTCGAGTGGCTTTAAGGAGGTCCCCGAAAGATCCCACTCCAGGCGACTCTAGAATATCTTTGGAGCTCTCACGCTCCTGGGCTTCAGCTGGCTGGTTAATGTCCCCAGGAGCGCTTGGTCACCCCTCCAAAGGTCCCTTGAGCTTCTTCCTGAAGGGTCTCTGATGCTGCAGGACACAAAGAGGGAACAAAAAATGGGGGGGGGATAGTGAAAAAGAGAACTGGGAGGGCAGGCATCTCATATATGTTGACGGCAGCAACAAAAATGGGAGGATATAATTATAATAATAATGATGATGATGATGATAATGATGATGATGATGTTGGAAGGGACCTTGGAGGTCATCTAGTCCAACCCCCTGCTCAGGCAAGAAACCCTATATACCATTTCAGACAAACGGCTGTCCAGTCTCTTCTTAAAAACCTCCAGTGTTGGAGCATTCACAGCTTCTGGAGGCAGGTTATTCCACTGGTTAATTGTTCTAGCTGTCAGGAAGTTTCTCCTTAGTTCTAGGTTGCTTCTCTCCTTGATGAGTTTCCACCCATTGCTTCTTGTCCTGCCTTCAGGTGCTTTGGAGAATAACTTGACTCCTTCTTCTTTGTGGCAGCCCCTGAAATATTGGAACTCTGCTATCTGGTCACCCCTTGTCCTTTTCTTCATTAGACTAGGTTCTCTTGCTCGAGCAGGGAGTTGGACTAGATGACCTCCAAGGTCCCCCTTGTTTTTCTCCTTGATTAGTTTCCATCCGTTGCTTCTTGTCCTGCCTTCAGGTACTTGGGAGAATAGCTTGACTCCCTCTTCTTTGTGACAGCCCCTGAGATACTGGAACACTGCTATCATGTCCTCCCTCGTCCTTCTCTTCCTTAAACTAGACATACCCAATTCCAGCAACCGTTCCTTATATGCTTTAGCCTCCAGTCCCCTGATCATCTTCGTTGCTCTTCTCTGCACTCTTTCTAGAGTCTCAGCATCTTTTTTACATTGTGGTGACCAAAACTGGATGCAGTATTCCAAGTGTGGCCTTACCAAGGCGTTGTAAAATGGTGTTAACACTTCACGTGATCTTGATTCTCTCCCTCTGTGAATGCAGCCTAGCCTAGCCTACTTCATTGGACGTACTGGCCTACTCCTTTTTTTTAATTTAACATATAAAGGTCGCCCAGCTCTGTAATAACGCTGGTGCTGCACAATTAAAATATTGATAAAATCCTTATAAAACGCTAATGGAAGACTCCAAAATAGCCTCCACTCACAAACCACAACTGAGATTTCCAAGATTTCCGTCGCTATGCAAGACAGGGGTTAAGTAGGCTTTGTCCCCTTTCACGACCTTTCTCACCGCGGTTGTTAAGTGAATCACTGCAGTTGTTAAGTTAGTCACACGGTTGTTAAGTGAAGCCGGCTTTCCCCGATTGGCTTTGCTTGTCACAAAAGGGGATCATGTGACCGCAGAACACAGCAACGGTCATAAATGTGAGTCAGTTGCTAAGCATCTGAATTTTGATCACGTGACCCAGGGGGAGGCTGCAACGGTCGTAAGTGTGAAAAAAGGGTGATAAGTTGCTTTTTTTCCCAGTACCATTGTAACTTTGAACGGTCACTAAGCAAACTGTTGTAAGTGGAGGACTACCTGTATTGTGCCTCCTCCAAGACAACCTTGTGCTAAGACTCACCTTGGCACTGGGTGCAACAGGAGTCCCCCTTTTTTTCTTCCTTGGAGCAAGAAGTCGGAGAGCATTCTTGACGTTGGCAATGCGTTTGTCCGGACTGAAATTTAAAAAAATAAACCAACCAAAGTTTGCTGGAGGAGAGCCAGGATTACAGAAGGTCCCCACATCCCCAAGAAGACCACAATTGGACGGCGTGCTTTTCAGATCGTGCAGGCTGAAATACAGGCAACCCTCGACTTATGACCACAGCCGAGCCCAACATTTCTGTTGCTAAGTGAGTTTTTGCCCCGTTTTTTACAACCTTTCTTTTCCACGGTTGTTTAAGTGAATCACTGAAGTTGTTAAGTGAGGAACACGGCTGTTCAGCGAATCCAGCTTTTCCCCCACTGGCTTTGCTTGTCCGAAGGTTGCAAAAGGGGATTGTGTGACCCCGGGGAGACACTGCGACCGTCGTAAATATGAGCCAATTGCCAAGTGTCTGAATTTTGATCACGTGACCCTGAAGGATTCTGCGGCGAGCTTAAGTGTGAAAAACGATCATCAGTCACTTCTTCCAGTGCTGTTGTAACTTCAAACTGTCACTAAATGAACAGTTATAAGTCGAGGACTACCTCTAGACTGGTTCTGGAAAACGGCTTCAGCTCTTCTCCTCTTTTGGGGTTGGAGGCTGCTGTTTCTGCACTATAACTAATTGGGTTATTTTAACCCTCTGCAAGACTAGATTTCTTTGGGGTTAATACTGACCCCTGAGGGTGAATTTAGTCCAGGGGTAGGCAACCTTGGCTCTTTTATGACTCCTGGACTTCAACTCCCAGAATTCCTGAGCCAGCATGGGGGAACTATGGCCCCTTCATGACTTGCGGACTTCAACTCCCAGAATTCATGAGCCAACATGGCTCAGCTTGGAACTTCTTCCTTTCCCCTCAGCGTGGCTGGCTCAGGAATTCTGGGAGTTGAAGTCCGCAAATCATAAAAGAGCCATAGTTCCCCCATGCTGGCTCAGGAATTCTGGGAGTTGAAGTCCACGAGTCATAAAAGGGCCAAGGTTGCCTACCCCTGATTTAGTCAGCTGACTCCTTTTGTTCTTCCCCCAATACCTTACCTGTGACCCATTTTAAATGTGTTGTGGGAACAGACTCTGGAACTGGCTCCCCCTTATTCCAGACAAGTTGGAAAAAACGTAGCTGCAGAATATATCATCTGTGAATTATATTCACATTATGCCAATATTAATGGCCCAGAAATGTCTGTCTTGCTGACAACCAGACCTATTAACTCCATTATAGAGTTTTATATAAGTAATTTACAGAAGTAATAAGGGCTTGCTGTGCAGACAGCATAAAGTCCATTGTTTGTCCAATTTCACAGCCGAATCTTCCTCTAGGTCACCATTTTGAATAGCCACTAAACGACCTGTTTATTTATTTATTTATTTATTTATGAGACTTATATACCGCTTTAAGTGCAAGCACTCTCTAAGCGGTGTACACCAGTAAGCAATGTATATATATATTTACATTGCCCCCAACAATCTGGGTCCTCATTTTACCTACCCCGGAAGGATGGAAGGCTGAGTCAACCTTGAGCCGGTGAGATTTGAACCGCTGACCTGCTGAATACAGTCAGCTAAAGTGGCCTGCAGTACTGCACTCTAACTGCTGCGCCACCTCGGCTCTTGTTGTAAGTCAAGGCTATGTCATGATTCCGACAGATGAAACTCTTCAGAGAACTTCGAGGCACTGTTTACCATAAAGATTCTTTAAAGTAAACAATGCCTCAAAGTTCTTTGAAAAGTTTTATCTGTCGGAACCAGGACACTAAGCCAAAATCTGAATTCCCCTCCCCTGAGCACATAGTATCAAGAACAATTCCCTCCTCTAATTAACAGTCATAAATCACATTCTCCAATTAGTTTGAAATGCAGGCTTTCCCTCCGGTGCCATTTCTTATCATCTCTTATTTCAAAACAACTTGGTTCACACCCTAGTTACATATTGTTATGTCTAACTAAACTCCCAGGCACATTCCTCCCCCCCCCCCAGTATCATCTAATTCAGTGGTTCTCAACCTTTTTAATGCCGCAACCCCCAACCGGTCGTGAGTTGAGGACTACTCAACTGGTGCAGCACCGTTTGCAGAATGGGGCTTTTGGCGGGCTCAGCAGGGCAGAGACAGCCTGGACAATTCCTATTGGCTTTTGAAAGCCAATAGAATTAGACTCTATTCAAGAGAGGCTATTCTATTGGCTTTCAAAAGCCAATAGAATAAAAGGGAGTAGCACAGCTAAGGAAAAGGGGAAAAAATGGCAGACTGCGTTGTTTGGCGACCCCCGTGAAATGATCGTTCGACCCCAAATGGGGTCCCGACCCACAGGTTGAGAACCACTGGTCTAATTCTAACTCTAATTCTAAGAGTAAAACAGAAGAAGGAAAATGGCTGCATCTCCATATGTTGTCAAAGCAAGCACGTTCGACGTTAGCAACGTTGACAGGCTACCTATATGTTTCTTCCACCCGCTGGGATACCAGCCATCTCCTAAGAGAGAGACATTCCCGTCTCCAAGCTCCCCGCTGACGTTGACCGTGAAATTTCCAGCGCCTGCTGTCACCGATGCCTCCATACTCACCAGGCACCAGCAGGTGATGCACTTCATCTCTCCAAAAGGGGGCACTATAGGGTGCCAACTCTCGTTGTGCATGTACCATTGCCGCCCAAACTTGCAAGCTCGGGGACCGTCAGCCTGCATCATGTCGGAAAGCAGGGATGAGGTCTTCTCCGAGGCTGGGGAGAAAAGAGTATGAAGAACATGGAAAGAGCAGAAGAGGAGGATATTGGCTAGAATAGCCATAGCATTTAGACTTATATCCCGCTTCACAGGGCTTTACAGCTCTCTCTAAGCCAGTGGCTCTCAACCTTTTTAATGCTGTGACCCCCAACTGGTCGTAAATCGAGGACTACTCAACCAGTCGTAAGTTGAGGACTAGCACCATTTGCCGAATGGGACTTTTGGCGGGCTCAGCAGGGCAGAGACAGCCTGGACAATTCCTATTGGCTTTTGAAAGCCAATAGAATTAAACTCTATTCAAGAGAGCCTGCTCTATTGGCTTTCAAAAGCCAATAGAATAAAAGGGAGTAGCACAGCTAAGGAAAAGGGGGAAAAAATGGCGGACTGCGTTGTTTGGCGACCCCCGTGAAATGGTCGTTTGACCCCAAATGGGGTCCCGACCCACAGGTTGAGAACCACTGCTCTAAGTGGTTTACAGAGTCAACATATTTGCCCCCCAACAATCTGGGTCCTCATTTTACCGACCTCGGACGGACGGAAGGCCAAGTCAACATTGAGCTCATCAGGATCGAACTCTTGGCAGTCGGCAGAGTCAGCCTGCAATCCTGAATTCTTAAACACTGCGCCTCCAATGTCCTGAATCACCACCACTTTGCTTACCACAAGGTTTCTCCAACTCAGCAACTTTACGATGGGTGGACTTCAAATCCCAGAATTCCCCAGCCCCGCAGGACTGGGAGACGTTCACTTAACCACCACCCCAAAAACGGTGGTTAAAAACAGGTCCAGTCTTGCGGTGATCCGCTTTGTGACCGCCATGAGATACACCCGTATTTGCCAGACTCAATGACAGTTGTAACTCGAGGACTTCTCTGTAAGGAGCGTTTTGAGGAAGTGGGGGCTGCTCCTGAGGGAATCATTTCCTTATCTTATGTTTGGTATGATGTATGATGGTACTGTGACCGGGCTGGCTAGCAAGAGAAGCAAGGTGCTTCTGACAGGTTTAACATACCTGGACATTGCTTGCAGCAGTCCGATGGGTTGACCCGGATGGGGTTACTGCAGGCCAACTGGGGACACTGCACCTTCTCGCAGTGAACTTCTCCCGTGGCCCCCTGGGAAAACACAGATGGGAAAGATGTTGAGACTCTAGAAAGAGTTCAGAGAAGAGCAACAAAGATGATCAGGGGACTGGAGGCTAAAACATACGAAGAACGGTTGCTGGAATTGGGTATGTCTAGTTTAACCAAGAGAAGGACGAGGGGGGACATGATAGCAGTGTTCCAGTATCTCAGGGGCTGCCCCAAAGAAGAGGGAGTCAAGCTATTCTCCAAAGCGCCTGAAGGCAGTACAAGAAGCAACGGATGGAAACTGATCAAAGAGAGAAGCAACCTAAAACTGAGGAGAATTTTTCTGACAGTGAGAACAATTAACCAGTGGAACAACCTGCCTCCAGAAGTGGTGAATGCTCCAACACTGGAAGTTTTTAAGAAGAGACTGGACAGCCATTTGTCCGAAATGGTATAGCGGGCGGAGTCAAGTGAGGAATCAGTCTCGAGTCATTATGTTGCCACAAGCGGTCCAGCCCCCCCCCCTTGAATTCCGTTAACTGTTATCTAACCAATTTAGTGCTAGACCAGGGGTAGGCCACCTTGGCACTTTTATGACTCGTGGACTTCAACTCCCAGAATTCCTGAGCCAGTACCTCTGTGCTGCAGCTGCTAGACCATCAATTGACTACATTCTTGTGAATAGGCTTGAGCAATGAATCTTAACTGGAACTTAATGTGTGGTCCTAATTCTTCACAGTTGGACAGTTATTGGACAAACAAAACTTGCAATTTAGGCCAAATGTCACCAGACTGGTAAAATCCGTGAGCAGTAATGATGGCTCAGATAGCTACTGCATATTCCAAAGACAGAAATAGAGCACGACAATGAGAAAAGCTGGCTTAGAACTGGCAGCCCCGGATCTAGATGAAGGAATCCTCAAGAACAAACAGGATTGTAGCGAGGAATGAGGGCAAACAGGTATGGAGGAGCTTCTCCTTCTCTTTGTTACACTTGACATACCTAGTTTCCTGCAACAGGTTTATCTGTCCGATGAAAATGAAACATTGAGGAAGATTAAGGAACATCTGGACTGGAGTTTCCAAAACTCATGTAACCAGATCAGTGCTAGATCCTTGCCCAACATACAAAGTTCTGTTCATTTTTCTGGAGTTTCATATGGTGCCCAACTCCAGTCCATTAAGTTTGTTTATAGTTTCAACGGACTGGGCAAATGCAGGAACTGGGTTAATTCAATAGCTGGGTTAAGGCTTTCAGTTGTCTGGTTGATGTTCCCCTCCTACCTTGCAGGTACAAATCGCGCATTTGATGAGCCCAAACGGGGGAACTACAGGATGCCAATGTGTGCCCGCTCGTCTCCACGTCTTGTCACCATCAAAATAGCACCCTAAGATAGAGAAAGAGGATCGGGGCAGCTGCCTTAAATCTTAAACACAACATAGATCATAACTGTTGGAGCTGTAGTCCCCAAGATTCATCTCTTCTTGGGTAAGCCCTGGCTAAGCTCAAAAAAAAACAAATCAGGATTAGATCTAGTCGATACTTGGAATGCAGGGAAAGGTTGAGGCTGTGGGATAGCCTAGGACAGGGGTAGGCAACCTTGGCTCTTTTATGACTTATGGAGTTCAACACCCAGAATTCCTGAGCCAGCCAGGCTGACTCGGGAATTCTGGGAGTTGAAGTCCACAAGTCATAAAAGAGTCAAGGTTCCCCACCCCTGGTCCAGCCTAAAGTGGGTCGGGCAGTTCACAGTTATAGAAACTAGCTATGGCCTTAGTATTTTGGGTTCACTAGACCAGGGGTTTCCAAACCTGGCCAACTTTAGGACTTGTGGTCTTCAACTCCCAGAATTCCCCAGGCGGAATGGCTGGCTGAGGAATTCTGGGAATTGAGGTCCACAAGTCTTTTTTTTTTATTAAAAGTTTTACAAATTTATTACAATATAAACCCCCCTACCCCTCACCCCGTCCCCCCCTCCCCCACTTCCCAGAGCTGATTACAGGGTAACAAATAAACAAACATAATCTAACTAACATAAACCAATTATACTATCAATCAAAACCATAACACACTTTAACTCCTTCTCAAATCAAATATTAACAAATTAAAACAAAAATAATAATATAATTGAAACCATTAATAATTATCTAAAATCTACTCAAAAGCAAGGTCATACTTTTCAGTTTCATATTTCTTTTGAATATAATCAATCCATCTTCTCCAAACCATAATCTATCTTTCTTGTGAATGGTCCTTCAAGTAGGCCAGTGGTTCTCAACCTGTGGGTCGGGACCCCATTTGGGATCGAACGACCATTTCACGGGGGTCGCCAAACAATGCAGTCCACCATTTTTTTCTCCCTTTTCCTTAGCTGTGCTACTCCCTTTTATTCTATTGGCTTTCGAAAGCCAATAGAATAGACTCTCTTGAATAGAGTCTAATTCTATTGGCTTTCAAAAGCCAATAGGAATTGTCCAGGCTGTCTCTGCCCTGCTGAGCCCGCCAAAGGTCCCATTCTGCAAATGGTGCTGCACCAGTTGAGTAGTCCTCGACTTACGACCGGTTGAGTAGTCCTCGACTTACGACCGGTTGGGGGGTCGCGGCATTAAAAAGGTTGAGAACCACTGCCCTAACACAACCTTCTTGTTAATAAAAACTGGAACCATGATTTCACTTCAATTTAGCTCTGATGACCACTTGACCCTGAGCAATAAGGACCCCTCCCCCCCCCGTCGCCCATGGGCTCCGTGGTACGTGTACAAAATCTCTTGGTACCCTTGAGGCCCGGTCCAACTCTTGACACCTGAAGAGAATTTGCTGTTCCAGAAGACCCATAATGCTCAGCCAGCCGCTCTTGCCCTTACCTTCGCTGCTGGCTCGGATTTTCTCTGCTCTTCTCTGTTCTTCGTTTGCTAGCTCTATTCAAGGAGAGAGGATTGCATAGATGCATTATGGGCAGGAGGGGGAAAAAAAACAGGATCGGCTGTGATTGGGGCAGATACATTCCCCTGCAAGGGGGGGGGGCTTCCCTCTTCCCCGGCCTGCCTTGGGCAGCTTGACCCAGCCCTCTCGCCAGTGGGGCAGTGCCCCCTCACGCTCTGAACTGCAGTTGCTAAAGGTGTGGGGAGACAGACATCCCTAACTTTAAAATGCAGATGTCCTTTTTCTACCTGGAACGGTGTCCTGTCCACGATGCAGACCTTTCCCTTGTTCTCTAAAGGCTCTGTCAATCACCTACCTGACTCCTCCCCTCTCCCCTCTTCCCCTCCCCTCCCCTCCTCTTTTCCTCCCTACCCATCATCCATCCAGGCAATTCCTCCCTCACCCATCTCCCTTCCTTCCATCTACTCATCCATTCATCTCCTTCTTTCCTTCCCTCCCTCCCTCCGCCCCTTCTTCCATTCCTTTCCTTCCTTCAATTTACTCACCCATCTATCTCCTTCCTTCCTTCCCTCCCTCCCCCTTTTCTTTCATCCCTTTTCTTCTTTCCTTCTTTCCTTCCTTCCTTCTTTCCCTCACTCCCGCCCCTCCCCTTTCCTCCATCCCTTTCCTTCCTTCCTTCCATCTACACACCCATCTATCTCCTTCCTTCCCTCCCTCCCTCCCTTTTCTTCCCTCCCTTTCCTTCTTTCCTTCCTTCCTTTCCCTCCCCTCCTCTTTTTCTTCCATCCTTTTCCTTCCTTCCTTTTCTTCCCTCCCTTTCCTTTTCTTCCTTCTTTCCTTCCTTCTTTCCCTCCCTCCCTTCCCTATTTTTCTTCCATCCCTTTTCTTCCATCCCTTTCCTTCCTTCCTTCCCTCCCTCCCTTTTTCTTCCATCCCTTTCCTTCCTTCCTTCCCCCCTCCCCCTCCCCTTTTCTTCATCTCCTTCCTTCCTTCCTTCCTTCCTTCCTTCCTTCCTTCCTTCCTTCCTTCCTTCCTTCCTTCCTCCCTCCCTCCCTCCCTCCCTCCCTCCCTCCCTTCCTCACTCTTCCTTTCCCCTGTCTATATAACTATATCTCTCCCTCCCTCTCCAGACAGGGACGCAACCCTGGTTCAAAACACAGCACCAGCCTCTACCTCAGGGGTAGGCAACCTTGGCTCTTTGATGACTCGTGGACTTCAACTCCCAGAATTCCTGAGCCAGCATGGCTCAGCTTGGAAACTCTCCCTTTCCCCTCAGCATGGCTGGCTCAGGAATTCTGGGAGTTGAAGTCCACGAGTCATCAAAGAGCCGAGGTTCCCCACCCCTGCTCTACATCAACTTTATTTTGGTTTCAAGGATTGAAAATGGGCCCCATATTGGTAGAAGATAAAAAAACAGGAGGGGCTTCATCTGGAAATGTTCCTGGCCATCCACCAAAAGGGCAGAGGACAACAAGAAGAGCAAGGAGCGGCCTGGCAGGTGTGGGCAAAGCAGGGGTCAGGTCGCATGCTGATCAATTAGTACAGTTGGCAGTATGATATACCTGGGACTCTTTGCCCCATTTGAGATTTAATCCCATGGAATTTGCTCCCCTTTTCTTCTCAATTCCCCGGTCTCCATCCCTCTGACTATCCTCAGAGTATCTGACAGAGAGCCTGGCGTCCCGTCCACAGGCTTAATCCTGCCCTGCCCGAGTTACCTTGGCACACAGGGCAGCACTGGTTACTTTGATGGACTGGCTCAGAGCAGTTAAGAGGCTGGCACAAGACCGGATCGCAGATCACTGTGCGCTTCTGCGGAAGCAGAAGGAGAGAGAGGGGAAAAGAAAAAAAAAAAACAACAACAATAGAAGGAAGAGCGATTAGAACTGGCAAACCAGGATTTTATTCTCCACTTGGGCTGAGTTTGCTTGCAGAATGACTGAAGAACAGGGAGGGACGTTGGAGGTCTTCTGGTTGATGCTGCGGGGCGTGGGCAGAGGTCGTGGCCACCATGGCGCTGCTGGGCTACCTGGGCGATCTGAGGCGGGTCGTGGAGGTGGTGAGTGGCCCTGCGGGCAGGCGGGGCAGGGGGTGGAACGGGGGTGGGGCCAGTTTTTGGGCACTCGGTCTCTAAAAGGTTTGCCATCACTGCTATATTCTATTCTGTGCTATTCTGTTCTGTTCTGTTCTGTTCTATTCTATTCTATTCTAGTCTAGTCTAGTCTATTCTATTCCATTCCATTCCACATTCCATTCCATTCCACATTCTATTCTATTCTATTCTATTCTATTCTATTCTAGTCTAGTCTAGTCTATTCTAGTCTATTCCATTCCATTCCATATATTCTATTCTATTCCATTCCATTCCATATATTCTATTCTATTCTATTCTATTCTATTCTATTCTATTCTATTCTATTCTATTCTATTCTATTCCATTCCATTCTATTCTATTCCATTCCATTCCATTCCATATATTCTATTCTATTCTATTCTATTCTATTCTATTCTATTCTATTCTATTCTATTCCATTCCATATTTTCTATTCTATTCTATTCTATTCTATTCTCTTCTATTCTATTCTATTCTATTCTATTCTATTCTATTCTATTCTATTCTATTCCATTCCATTCCATTCCACATTGTATTCTATTCTATTCTATTCCATTCCATATATTCTGTTCTATTCCATTCCATATATTCTATTCTATTCCATTCCATTCCATATATTCTATTCTATTCTATTCTATTCTATTCTATTCTATTCTATTCTATTCTATTCTATTCTATTCTATTCTATTCTATTCTATTCTTATTCCTATTCCTATTCCTATTCCTATTCATGTGGTTGCTAACTGAATCTGCCATCCCCATTGACTTTACTTCTCAGAAGATTGCAATAGGGGATCCCATGTCCCCCGGGACACTGCAACCATCATAAATACAAGTCAGTGGCCAAGCATCCAAATTTTGATCCATGTGACTATAGGGAATGCTGCAATGATCATAAGTATAAAAAATACTCATAAGTCACTTTTTTTCAGTGCTGTTGTAACTCTGAACAGTCACTAAACAAACCGTTGTAAGTCGAGGACTACCTGTAGGCTCAGAATACTTGATTATCTTGCGGTGTTCCGTTTGAGAGAACGCACAGGATTTCCCCCCAATTTTTCCCTGGCTTAGTGTGGAAAAAACAAAAATTAAAACCCAGACTCAGCATAGATGGGAACTCAAACACAAAACTTTCTTTCTAGATCAGACATGTCAAACTCGCGACGTCATGTGACTTTTTCCCCATTGCTGGCAATAGGGCGGGCGTGGTTTTGTCGTGATGCGTCCAGCCTGTGGGCCGGCAGTTTGACAGCCCTGTTCTAGTGGGATGCTTCAGTTCTTCCAGAAAACAGGTGGTCCTCGGCTTACAACAGTTCATTTAGTGACCGTTCAAAGTTACAACGGCGCTGAAAAAGATGACTTATGACCGTTTTTCACACTTACGACCGTTGCAGCATCCCCAGGGTCACGTGATCAAAATGCAGACAATTGTCAACTGACTCATATTTACGATCGTTGCAGCATCCTGGGGAGGGGGTCACGTGATTCCCCTTTTCCAACCTTTTGACAACAGGGAAACCAGATTCGCTTAACAACGTGTTACTAACTTATCAACTGCGGCGATTCGTTTAACAACTGTGGCAAGAAAGGTCATAAAATGGGACAAAGCTCACTTAACAACCGCCTCGCTTAGCAACAGAAATGCTGTGTCCCATCGTGGTCGTAAGTCAAGGACTACCTGTGCGTCTTTCGCCATGGTCTTCCCACCTACCTGACAGGTGCATACGGAACACTTCTTGTCGTAATCGGGGGCCCAGCGGGAGCCATGAGGCCGATGTTGACCTTCAAAAAAGCAGGCGTCTTTCTTCAACTCTTTGGGGTCCTTGGGCCTTGGTTCCCCAACAAGGTCTTTCTCTAGGTCTTCAGAAGCCAGCCGGAGGCCCCCTGCCTTGCATTGGTTGGGAAGGTGAACCTGGAAGAACAGCGGCCATTAAACAAGTGAGCAGTCAGACAGATCAAGAGCAGGGCCAGCTAGCAGCTGAAAAAAAAAGAAATCAAGCTTGCCTTAATGAATCAGAGGTACCGTGCTCAATAGTAGCAACTGTGAGAGGGACCTTGGAGTCCTAGTGGACAATCCCTTAGATATGAGCCAGCCGTGTGCTGCAGCTGCCAAAAAGGCCAACACAGTGCTGGGCTGCATTAACAGAGGGATAGAATCAAGATCACGTGAAGTGTTAATACCACTTTACAACGCCTTGGTAAGGCCACACGTGGAATCCTGCATCCAGTTTTGGTCACCACAATGTAAAAAAGATGTTGAGACTCTAGAAAGAGTACAGAGAAGAGCAACAAAAATGATCAGGGGACTGGAGGCTAAAACATATAAGGGAAGACTGCTGGAATTGGATATGTCTGGTTTAATGAAGAGAAGGACGAGGGATGAGAGGATAGCAGTCTTCCAATATCTCAGGGGTTGCCACAAAGAAGAGGGAGTCAAGCTATTCTCCAAAGCATCTGAAGGCAGGACAAGAAGCAACGGATGGAAACTAATCAAGGAGAGAAGCAACCTAGAACTAAGGAGAAACTTCCTGAGAGTTAGAACAATTAACCAGTGGAACAACCTGCCTCTAGAAGTGGTGAATGCTCCAACACTGGAAGTTTTTAAGAAGAGACTGGACAGCCATTTGTCTGAAATGGTATAAGGTTTCCTGCCTGAGCAGGGGGTTGGACTAGATGACCTCCAAGATCCCTTCCAACTTTGTTGTTGTTGTTGTTGTTGTTGTTATTATTATTATTATTATACTTGTCGTCAAACCTACCGGAAAAGCACTGGATCTGAAAAGCTAGAGTTATGTTTTCAAACTTGCCAATGTTAAGATGAAATGGATATCAACTCCCAGAATCCCTTAGCTGGTAGAATTCTGGACTTGAAAGTCCACAAAAAGTGGCCAAGGGTGAGAAACACTGTGTCAATTCGACAATGAAGCATGGCTGCAGCCATTTTTTTTCTCATTCTAGATTGCCACATAGAACGGAGCAAGGGGGGATCGCCCCGTTGCTTCGTTAGTCAAAATAATCTTCTGTCCCGTAGGAACCCAGGTCATCTACTGCTCCTGCGGCTAGGGACTGGGCGTGGTATAAAAAAGCCCGCCCAATGAATACATTGCATAGTTTTGTGGGTGGGACATTATACTTTGTAATTGGGTAATTGGTACTTGCATACATCAGAAGAAGAAGAAAAAGAAGAAGCTTCAAATCCACAAGATCAACAGAGGTGCTTGTTAGCTTCCCATGGTCTGTTGATGGACCTAAAGGCCACAAAATCATGGCATCTGGCCCTCTCAATTCCTGGCAAATAGATGGGGAAGAAATGGAGGTAGTGATAGATTTTATCTTCCTGGGCTCCAAGATCACCGCAGATGGGGACTGCAGCCAAGAAATTAAAAGACCCTTGCTCCTGGGGAGGAAAGCTAGGGCAAATCTAGACAGCATACTAAAAAGCAGAGACGTCACCCTGCCAACAAAAGTGCGTATAGTCCAGGCCATGGTTTTCCCAGTTGCAACGTGTGGCTGTGAAAGTTGGACCATAAGAAAGGCTGAGCGCCAAAGAATGGAGGCCTTTGAACTCTGGTGCTGGAGAAGACTCCTGCGAGTCCCTGGACTGCAAGGCGATCAACCGGTCAGTCCTAGAGGAGATCAACCCCGACTGCTCTTTAGAAGGCCAGATCCTGAAGTTGAAACTCAAATACTTTGGCCACCTAATGAGAAGAAAGGACTGGAGAAGACCCTAATGCTGGGAAAGATTGAGGGCAATAGAAGAAGGGGACGACAGAGAATGAGGTGGCTGGATGGAGTCACTGAAGCAGGAGGCGTGAGCTCCAATGGACTCCAGAAGATGGTAGAGGACAGGAAGGCCTGGAAAAACATTGTCCGTGGGGTCGCGATGGGTGGGACATGACTTTGCAACTAACAACAACAGCAATTGGTACTTGTGTATTCAGACTTGGTTTCACTTTAGATTGTGCCGATATTTTGCAACTAATAAACATGTTCTTTGAGGAATTTTCAATCCTCGGAGTTCTGCTTTATTCGTCTCTGTCTGTCGGGACCTTGACACACCGATTTAAATAAAGAGCAAAGATGCTCTGTGCCTAAATGTTAACTTGCAAGGGTGTCGTGGCCTCCTTCACTGAGTCTTCACCTGTTCAAGTCAAACGGGAAGTCAAAGAGGCCTGTGGCAAAGATGGAATGAAATGGGAACGACGGTACTAATTCAGCCTACTCAGTCCTACTCCAATATTGAGAATCACTTTGGTACTGGGGTTCAGATGCCGACTCAAAATAGTAAGTTGTAAGTTGAGGACTATCTGTATACCCCAGGCTGGTGAAGCTTTTACACCCGCAAAACCTATAATTTGGTGTTTCCAGTTTCTCCCTTTTGATGCAAACTCCTTCACGTGTCTGTTGCGGGGAAGGCAATGTTAGAAAAGAGGTTATGAAAGTCGCCCGCTTTCACCTACTGAGGACAGACAGGGGAATATATCCAGCAAATAGATAAATAATAAATCATTTTCCTGCAGAACTGCCAGCATGGAAATGCCCAGTTCCTTTCCATCTTAGCCACTCAGCAACCGCTGAAGGGAAAACACATCCTGGCACTGATAGCTGATGCCAAGAGGATTTTGCCGCCTTCCAGCCAAACGTGGTTTCTGGGAAGCCGCTAGCAATGTTAGTCCTGAGCCAGGATAAGGTGTGTGGCAGACAAACAACTGCCTTCGCAAACATCCCAGTGATGGAGAGACTCTGTTGGAGGAGGAGGAGGAGGGGAGGAGGAGGAGGAGGAGAGGAGAAGAAAAAGAAGAAGAAGAAGAAGAAGAAGAAGAAGAAGAAGAAGAAGAAGAAGGAAAGGAAGGAAGGAAGGAAGGAAGGAAGGAAGGAAGGAAGGAAGGAAGAAAGAAAGAAAGAAAGAAAGAAAGAAAGAAAGAAAGAAAGAAAGAAAGAAAGAAAGAAAGAAAGAAAGAAAGAAAGTGGTGAGAGGGCTTGACAAGGGCCTTCAGCCAAAAAATGCTTTGTCTTTTGGTCAAATTTTGTGACAATTTTTTTCTTTAAAATGCCACACATCGTCCACATTGGGTGTACATTAAGTTCTTGATCATCATTTTAGCACTGGTTACCTCTTGAGAGTAAACTGGGAGTAGCTACAAGTGTTTAGCCCTCCCTTGTAGTCACCCCTAGGAGTAGTTTAGTCCAACTAGTCTACTCCAACTAGTTCTCTGCCCTGGATTCTCAGCATCTCCACGTCAAAGCCAGAAGCTTAAATGGGAGCAGAATTACCTTCAGAGTAACATGCTTGCTACAATATCCCCCAAAATGGGAACAGAAAGCCTGGTGACACACAGTGGTTAGAATGCAGCATTGCAGGCTAACTCTGCCTGCTGCCAGCAATTCGATCCTGACTGACTCAAGGTTGACTCAGCCTTCCACCCTTCTGAGGTGGGTGAAATGAGGACCCAGATTGTTGGGGGAAAATGTGCTGACTCTGTCCTATCGCTTAGAGAGGGCTGTTAAGTACTGTGAAGTCTAAATTATCTAGGGCAGGGGTTCTCAACCTTGGCAACTTTAAGACTTGTGGACTTCAACTCCCAGAAGAAGAAGAGCCAAGGTTGCCTACCCCTGGCCTAGGCCTAGGCCGCTTTATGACTGGTGGACTTCAACTCCCAGAATTCCTGAGCCAGCATGGCTCAGCATGGAAACCTCTCCCTTACCCCTCAGCATGGCTGGCTCAGGAATTCTGGGAGTTGAAGTCCACATAAAAGAGCCAAGGTTGCCTACCCTGGTCTAGGGAATTCTGGGAGTTGAAGTCCTCACATAATGTCTGGGGAATTCTGGGAGTTGAAGTCCTCACATAATAGCTGGAGAATTCTGGGAGTTGAAGTCCTCACATAATGGCTGGGGAATTCTGGGAGTTGAAGTCCTCACATAATGTCTGGGAAATTCTGGGAATTGAAGTCTTCACATAATGTCTGGGGAATTCTGGGAGTTGAAGTCCTCACATAATGGCTGGGGAATTCTTGAAATTGAAGTCCTCACATAATGTCTGGGAAATTCTGGGAATTGAAGTCCTCACAATGTCTGGGGAATTCTGGGAGTTGAAGTCCCCACATACTGGCTGGGAAACACTGGCCTAATGCATATATTCACTGACACAAAGCAACAGACAAATAGCTTTGCTGACTGGGGAATTCTGGGAATTGAAGTCCACACATCTTCAGCGGCCAAGGTTGAGAAACAGTGCTCTTGTCATTTTTCCTCTTCTTGTATGCAAACAATCAGCTAACACCTTTTTCTGAACTTTAAACAAACAACTTACTTAGAGCGTATGAGGGATGGAAGCAAATCTGGGTTTGAAAAAAACAAGATACAAACCGTATTATCAATTACGACAATTTCTCTTATTTTTATAGCTAAGAAAGGTCTGCGCCACTCCACCACCATCACCCCCCCCCCAAACCTTCTATGTCATTCAGGGTTATGCAAACATCCATCATAATAATGCCGCATGTCTCATTATTTTATTTCCATGCCAAGAAAAGCTTCACTTGCGGAATTTCCATCTGTCTGGGGAGCAAGCAAATGCCTCTCCTTGGAGTGATTAAGAATGCAAACAATGTAGAGTTTAAGATTTTGGCACACGGCAACCCTTGGCAACTCGCCACACTCCTAAACGTTCCCACCAGCTGAGGAAAAGAGAGTAATTTTTCTAAATTCTCTCTCTGTGACTTTAATTCCTGTCAGGTTTAGAGAGCCTTTTCAACCTGACTTTTCAAACGATGCCCTTCCTTGAAAGAAAGAATGTTGAGAATCTATCCTGGTACGGATTGTCCAAAAGCTCAGCTCCACTTTTGGTTTTATTTATTTCATTCTAGTGTCAACGTTTAGATCAGAAAAGCCAAAAACGCCAACGCCGTCTTCGGCTGCATCAACCAACGGATAGAATCAAAATCACCTGAAGTATTAATACCACTTTACAAGGCCTTGATAAGGCCACACTTGGAACACTGCTTCCAGTTTTGGTCACCATGATGTAAAAAAGATGTTGAGACTCTAGAAAGAATACAGAGAAGAGCAACAAAGATGATCAGGGGACTGGAGGCTAAAACATATAAGGAATGGTTGCTGGAATTGGGTATGTCTAGTTTAATGAAGAGAAGGACAAGGGGGGACATGATAGCAGTGTTCCAATATCTCAGGGGCTGCCCCAAAGAAGAGGGAGTCAAGCTCTTCTCCAAAGCACCTGAAGGCAGAACAAGAAGCAATGGATGAAAACTAATCAAGGAGAGAAGCAATCTACAACTAAGGAGAAATTTCCTGATAGTGAGAACAATTAACCAGTGGAACAACCTGCCTCCAGAAGCTGTGAATGCTCCAACACTGGAGACTTAACAAAACTGGACAGCCACTTGTCAAGTATGGTACAAGTTCTCCTGCTTGAGCAGGGGGTTGGACTAGAAGACTTCCAAGGTTCCTTCTAAGTCTGTTATTCTGTTTTCAAAAAAAAAAAAAGAGGGCTCTCTGGAGTCCTAGTGGACAATCGCTTACATATGAGCCATCCGTGTGCTGCAGCTGCCAAAAAAGCCAACACAGTGCTAGGCTGCATCAACAGAGGAATAGAATCAAGGTCACATGAAGGGTTAATACCACTTTATAATGCCTTGATAAGACCACGCTTCAAATACTGCATCCAGTTTTCCTCGCCACAATACAAAAAAAAAAAAAAGATGTTGAGAAGTTTGGAAAGAGTGCAGAGAAGAGCAACAAAGATGATTAGGGGGCTAGAGGCTAAAACGCATTAATGAATGTTTGCAAGAATTGGATATGTCTAGCCTAGGGGTAGGCAACCTTGGCTCTTTTATGATTCGTGGACTTCAACTCCCAGAATTCCTGAGCCAGCCATGCTGAGGGGAAAGGGAGAGGTTTCCAAGCTGAGCCATGCTGGCTTAGGAATTCTGGGAGTTGAAGTCCACGAGTCATAAAAGAGCCCAGGTTGCCTATCTCTGGCCTAGGCCTAGGCCACTTCATGACTTGTGGACTTCAACTCCCAGAATTCCTGAGCCAGCCTGGCTCAGCTTGGAAACCTCTCGCTTTCCCCTCAGCATGGCTGGCTCAGGAATTCTGGGAGTTGAAGTCCACAAGTCATAAAAGAGTCAAGGTTGCCTACCCCTGGTCTAGCCTAATGAAGAGAAGGATGAGGGGTGATATGACAGCAGTCTTTCAATATTTGAGGGGGGGGAAGAGGGGGACTGTCACAAAGAAGAGAGAATCAACCTATTCTCCAGAGAAACTGAGGGTAGGACAAGAAGTAACAGATGGAAGGCTTTATGCTTTGAGAGCTGCTTCAGTTCTCTGAAAAAGAGACCCAACCTAGAATTAAGGAGAAATTAATTCATCCAATTAATCAGTGGGCCACTTGCCTCCAGAAGGTGTGGCTGCTGCATCACTGGAGGTTCCACAGGTTGATATCTTGTACAGTGAGTCTCCCTCTATTTAGCCAGAAGCTCCTTCCCTATAATGACCTCATTAATTCTGGTCCTGCTCTTTGGGGCAACTGAGGGTAGGTCTCCTCTTCTGAATGACGACTCTTCAAATATTTGAAGACTACTTCTATATTTCTCCTCATTTTTCTTCTTCTGTAGTTTAAATCGACATCTGGACATCAGAATAGAATAGAATAGAATAGAACAGAATAGGAATAGATTAGAATAGAATAGAATATAGAATAGAACAGAATATAGAATAGAATAGAATAGATTAGAATAGGATAGGATAGAACAGAATATAGAATAGATTAGATTAGATTAGATTAGGATAGAATAGAATAGAATAGAATAGAATAGAATAGAATAGAATAGAATAGATCTGGAAGGGACCTTGGAGATCTTCTAGTCCAGCCCTCTGCTCGAGCAGGAGATCCTATACCATCTCAGACAAGTGACTGTCCAGTCTCTTCTTAAAAACCTCCAATGATGGAGCGCCCACGATTTCTGGTGTCATGCTGTTCCACTGGTTAATTGTCCTCACTGTCAGGAACTTTCTCCTTAATTCCAGGTTGCTTCTCTCTTTGGTCAGTTTCCAACCATTGTTTCTTATCCTGCCCTCTGGTGCTTTGGAGAATACTTTGAACCCCTCTTCTTTGTGGCAGCCCCTCAAATACTGAAACACTGAGCATGGCTCAGCATGGAAACCTCTTTTACCCCTCAGCATGGCTGGCTCAGGAATTCTGGGAGTTGAAGTCCACGAGTCATAAAAGAGCCAAGGTTGCCTCTACCCCTGGCCTAGCCAAACCCAAGTCCTGCAGCCGTTCTTCGTGTGTTTTAGTCTTCCAGGCCTGCAGCTATTACTACTTTCCAATAGGTTCATCTCTGCAGAGAGGAAGGGGGATTGTCTCGGATCTGAAAGCATTCCTCCCTCCTCTCAAATGCTTTTGGAGACTACTTGTGGTTATAACCTAGAAAGAAGGGGGAGGGGGGGAAATCACCCTTCACATGTTCAAAAGGCATTCGTGGACCCATCAAAAACACGGTTTGGAAATTAGAGTCTTTTTGTAGCTAAAAAAGCAGACCTACCTTGCCCCGAATCTCTCCCTGGGGGTTTGCTTTGGTGCTGACTTGCAGGAAGGCTGTGCCTTGAGCTAGGTGGCGAAGGAATTCCGCATCCAGGTCCTTCACCACTCCTTGGGCCTAAGAGGGAAAGAAAAGTGCCTCAGCAAAGTTCTAGGACAGTATGCAGGCAATTCTCAACTTACGACTGAAGTTAAAATGGCCCTGAAAAAAGAGTGACTTTTGATTGTTTTCACACTTATGACCATTGCAGCATCTCCATGAGTCACACAATCAAAATTCAGACCCTTGGCTTGTTGTTGTTGTTAGTTGCAAAGTTGTGTCCGACCCATCGCGACCCCATCTTGACAACGTTCCTCCAGGCCTTCCTGTCCTCTACCATCTTCTGGAGTCCATTTAAGCTAACGCCTCCTGCTTCAGTGACTCCATCCAGCCACCTCATTCTCTGTCGTCCCCTTCTTCTCTTGCCCTCAATCTTTCCCAGCATTAGGCCCTTCTCCAATGAGTCCTTCCTTCTCATTAGGTGGCCAAAGTATTTGAGTTTCAACTTCAGGATCTGGCCTTCTAAAGAGCAATTGGGGTTGATCTCTCCTAGGACTGACCGGTTTGATCGCCTTGCACTCCAGGGGACTCGCAGGAGTCTTTTCCAGCACCACAGTTCAAAGGCCTCCATTCTTTGGCGCTCAGCCTTTCTTATGGTCCAACTTTCACAGCCATACATTGCAACTGGGAAAACCATGGCCTGACTATATGCACTTTTGTTGGCAGGGTGATGTCTTTGCTTTTTAGTATGCTGTCTAGATTTGCCATAGCTTTCATCCCCAGGAGCAAGCGTCTTTTAATTTCTTGGCTGCAGTCCCCATCTGCGGTGATCTTGGAGCCCAGGAAGATAAAATCTGTCACTACCTCCATTTCTTCCCCATCTATTTGCTAGGAATTGAGAGGGCTGGATGCCATGATCTTGGTTTTCTTAATGTTGAGTTTCAAGCCAACTTTTGCACTCTCCTTCTTCACCCACATCAAGAGGCTCTTTAGTTCCTCTTCACTTTCTGCCATTAGAGTGGTATCATCTGCATATCTTAGGCTGTTGATATTTCTCCCTTAGGCTGTTGATATGGCTCCTATTTATGATGGCTGCCGTGTCCCCAGATCACGCGATCCCCTTTTGCGACCTCCTGACGAGCAAAATTCACTGAGGAAGCCAACTCCACTTAACAACGGTGTTGCTAATTGAACAGCTGTGGGGACTGACTTCACCACTGTGAGCAAGAAAGGTCGTAAAATGGGGCAAAACTCACTTAACAAATGTCTCACTTAACAACCAAAAATTTGGGCTCATATGTGGTCTACTTGTACGAATGGTGACTCTTCCATAACTGATTATTCCAGCTACGTGCTTGCAATAGTTCTCTGCGTGGGCTTGTATGTGTGCATTAGGCATGAAATTGTCTGCTCTCGGTTTAATGGTCTGCCAGCTTAAGTTTTTCAGAGAGTTCCTTCTTGGTAAGTAGCCCAAGGAAAGAATGGGTGATGCCAGAATGGAACCTATGGTCAATTTTCTTGAGTTTGTTTCATTTTCCTGCATTTTTTCTGCCAGAGGTTCACTGAATACCCACCCTGGGAATTGCCCCAGGGCAGATGGAAAGTCTTTGCATTTTACTGCCGAGTGGTAACATCACATGTCACACAACAGGGAGGATCCCACAACTAGCAAAGACTCACAAGGAATTTTTCCTATTATGCACTTGCTCGCTCTCAGCCCAACCTGCCTCACAAAGTTGTTGCTATGGGGGAAGTAGGAGGAGGAAGGAGGATTACTAGACATGTTGGGTTATTTATAATAATGATAGAGGTGGGTGATAGATGGATGGGTGGATGGGCGGGCAGACAGACAGAGACAGCAATAGGTAGGTAGATAGAGAGGGGGATGGATGGATGGATGGATGGACAGATAGACAGACAGACATAGAGGTAGGTAGGTAGATAAGTAGATAGAAGATAGATAGATAGATAGATAGATAGATAGATAGATAGATAGATAGATAGATAGGCAGATTGATAGAGGTAGGTAGGTAGGTAGGTAGGTAGGTAGGTAGGTAGAGAGGGGGATGGATGGATGGATGGATAGATAGACAGATAGACATAGACAGAAGTAGGTAGGTAAATAAGTAGATAGATGATAGATAGATAGATAGATAGATAGATAGATAGATAGATAGATAGACAAAGACAGAGGTAGGTAGATAGGTAGAGAGAGGGGATGGATAGAGGGGATGGATGGACAGATAGACAGACATAGACAGAGGAGGTAGGTAGGTACATAGATGAATGGATGGATGGATGGGTGGGTGGGTGGATAGATAAATGGATGGGTGGATGGATAGACAACATGACAAAGCATTTCCGGCCCAAAGGCTGCATCTTAGCCCCTTACCTCCGTGCCATAGAAACTCCTCAACAGTCTCCTGTGTTCTGGGCGGCTGGTCTCGTGAATCTCTCCCAGTTCAGCAAAACCGTGCAAGTGCGCAGTCACGGTGCCATCGTCTACCCTGCCCAGGCCAGCCACCACAATTTCATAGTGCAGATGGCAGTGATCGTCCAAGGACACCCAGGCGTGGCCAGCAGAGCCTGTGTGCACCGGAGGGGACACAAATTGCCCAGCCAGAGGGATAGGAAGTTCTACAGGACAAAAGACACAAGTCGCCTATTCAAGAATGTCGCCGGTTTATGGTCTCTTAACAAGGAAAGGCACCCAATGCTTTGGCTCCCACCTCCCACAATCCTTGACCACTTGCCATACTGCCCAGGCCTTACTGTAGCACATCGGAAGCTCTTTAACCCAGCATTTTTCAAACCTGGCCACTTTAAGAAGTCTGGTCTTCAACTCCCGTACACCAGGCTGAGGAATTCTGGGAATTGAAGTCCGTGCATCTTAAAGTTGCCAAGTTTGAAAAACACTGCTCTGTCTTAACTGGCCCTGGATTTCTTTTGAGAATCAGAGCTAGGGCTACATAATATAGCAATTTCCTTTAGCAACACCTAATATTAGGTATTCAGAGCAGAGGGGAATACAGGGAAATTGCCTGACCGTGGTCTATTTTTCAACTCCTGCTTGAAAATTCAACTTAGGTTTTAGCACTAAACTGCATTTTCAAAACCTGACGATTGAAGGGTTCTCTTGATCCCCTTATTCAAATACTACAGGTAGTCCTCATCTTATGACCATTCTTCTAGTGACTATTTGAAATTGCAACACCACTGAAGACAAGGGACCGGTTCTCATACTTAGGACCACTGCGGTATCCCCATGGCCATTGGTCATGTGACCCAATTTCGGGCCCTCGGCAACCGGCATGAATTTACGACGTGATCAGCAATTTGCAACTTTCCCAGCCAACCCGCTTCTGACCAGCAAAGTCATTGGGGGCAGTGAGATTTGCTTAACGACTGCATGATTCACTTAAGAACTGCAGCGGTTCGCTTAACAATCGTGGCAAAAAAGGTCATAAATTTGGGCACAATTTAGAGGACTGGAGGCTATAACATATAAGGAACGGTTGCTGGAATTGGGTATGTCTAGCTTAGTGAAGAGAAGGACAAGTGGGGGACATGATAGCAGAGTTCCAGTATCTCAGGGGCCGCCTCAAAGAAGAGGGAGTCAAGCTATTCTCCAACGCGCCTGAAGGAAGGACAAGAAGCAACAGGTGGAAACTCATCAAGGCGAGAAGCAACCTAGAACTAAGGAGAAACTTCCTGACAGTCAGAACAATTAACCAGTGGAACCACCTGCCTCCAGAAGCGGTGAATGCTCCAACACTGGACATTTTTAAGAAGAGACTGGACAGCCATTTGTCTGAAATAGTATAGGGTTTCCTGCCTAAGCAGGGGGTTGGACTAGATGACCTCCAAGGTCCCTTCCAACTTTATTATTATTATAACTCACTTAACCACTGCTTTGCTTAGCAACAGAAATCCTGGTCCCATTTGTGGTCGTTAAGTCGAGGACTACCTATAGCTAAGTTTCACACTGTGCAGGATTTTTAAGGGTGGCAATGACTTCCTCATTTCTATCACAGTGTCTCTCAAATTGGGAGCTTTAAGAGGGGTGGATATCAACTCCCATGCTGGCTGGAGCATTCTGGGAGTTGAAGTCCACCCACCTTGACATTGGCATGTTTAAGGAAGACTGATCTACCATCTTGATATCTGTCTTTGCACTCGGATACTTATGGCTGGCTGAGGAAATCTGGGAGTTGAAGTCCATAAGTCTTAAAAGTTGCCAAATCTGGTGGACTTCAACTCCAGAATTCCTCAGCCAGTATGGCTGGTTGAGGGATTCTGAGAATTCTGGGAGTTGAAGTCCATAAGTCTTAAAGTTGCCAAATCTGGTGGACTTCAACTCCCAGAATTCCTCAGCCAATATGGCTGGCTTTCTGGGAATTCTGGGAGTTGAAGTCCAAAAGTCTTAAAGTTGCCCTCCTCAAGCTAGAACAAAAACTTTACTCACACCAACCGCAGGTGATTGTCCTGTTATCTGCCTCAGATAACAGGACAATCTTTTATACACTCTTCATACGAGTACCTTGATAACGGGCCCAGAGTCCGCTGTAGAGCATGGAGTTTATCTGCCCACGCAATTCTCCATCCTCAAAATCCTTGGTGGCGACATTGAAGAACAGCTCATTCTGCAGCAGCATGTGGGCATCGCGCCCGCTGGCTTGGGTCCAGGAGCCACTGGCCTGAAAATAACAAGGATGGTGGGGGGGGGGAATAAAAGGTGTAAGGCTTGGTCCTCTGTAAGTGTGAAACCAAGTGCATGCAAAGAGGAACAATGTATTTCACACATTTTGAACTCTCTGGTGCTCGCTGTACCCAATTGGCTACCGTCCCCCCCATCCCCTAGTCCTCCCCCTCTTCTGCCAGCCAACACTCACCATGCCATCCTTGTAGCTGTGGGTCATGTCATACAAAATGCTGCGTTTGTTTCTTCGGCGGGGTTTGGTCTCCAAGGTGACACCAATCACCTCGCTTCCTGTTCCGTCTACCTGGATCTAGACAGAAGATTGTCCAAAAGGAATGTTCAAAGCCACATTAACTGAATAACAGAATAAAAGAAAAACAGAATAACAACAGACTAATAGGGTGGGAAGGGACCTTGGAGGTCTTCTAGTCCACCCCCGCTGCTCAGGCAGGAGACCCTATACAATTTTGGACAAATGGCTGTCCAATCTCTTCTTTAAAACTTCCAGTGTTGGAGCATCCACAACCTCTGGAGGCAAGTCGTTCCACTGATTAATTATACTCACTGTCAGGAAATGACTAGGCGTGACATTCTCACAATATTCTAGTATTGGAGAGGCTGTCACAAAGAGGAGGGGGTCAATTTATTTACCAAAACACCTGTAGGCAGGACAAGAAGAAGTGTGTGGAAACTAAACAAGGAGAGAAGCAACCTGGAACTAAGGAGAAACTTCCTAACAGTGAGGATAATTAACCAGTGGAACAGCTTGCCTCCAGAAGTTGTGGATGCTTCATCCCTGGAGGTTTTTAAGAAGCGACTGGAAAGTCACTTGGCTGAAATGGTATATATAGGTCTCCTGCTTGAGCAGGGGGTTGGACTAGAAGACTTCCAAGGTCCCTTCCAATTCTGTTACTCTTTGCAATGGCCCGCCTTTTGGAAGGCGTGAAAAGGCTGAATTTAGCAGAAAATTTTGATTCTGTTCCCCTGCCCTGATTATCACATCAATTTTATTTTATTATTTTATTTGAGTGGTTTAGTTTAGTAGTTGAATACAGTAGTGGAGGCTGGACTAGAAGACCTCCAAGGTCCCTTCCAGCTCTATTCTGATTCGGAGATTGGACAGCCACTTGTCTGAAATGGTATAGGGTTTCCTGCTTGAGCAGGGGGCTGGACTAGAAGATCTCCAAGATCCCTTCCAACTCTGTTAGTCTGTTATCTGTTATCAAGAAATTCCTCCTTAGTTCTAGATTGCTTCTCTCCTTGACGAGTTTCCCTCCACTGCTTCACTGACCTTGATATTTCTCAAGTGTTAATGTGCTTTTCCCCATCCGTTCACAAGGAACCGCAGACTTGCCAATGTTGACAGCAGCTTTTTTTCCCTACTGTGTCCCCATGACAATGTCCCCAATCCTCCTAATGGAGGACAGAGAGTCCTTGACTTGCAACAGTTCCAGTGGTGGAATTCAGCCGGTTTGCACCAGTTCGGGAGAACAGGTAGCTAAATTTTGCTGCATTCAGAGAACCAGCTGGCTTCCAGAAGTCCAGTCTAGGTCTGGGAGGCCTGCAGGATGCCCCCCAGGCCTAGAATGGGCCGCTGGAAGTGCATGGATGCCACTTCCAGAAGTCCGTTCTAGGCCTCGGAGGCCTGGAGGAGTCCTCCCAGGCCTAGAATGGCCCAACAGATGCATGGATGCCACTTCCAGAAGTCCGTTCTAGGCCTCGGAAGCCTGGAGGAGGCCTCGCAGGCCTAGAATGGCCCGCTGGAAGTGCATGGATGCCACTTCCGGAAGTCCGTTCTAGGCCTCGGAGGCCTGGAGGCCTCCCAGGCCTAGAATGGCCCAAAAGATGCATGGATGCCACTTCCAGAAGTCCGTTCTAGGCCTCGGAAGCCTGGAGGCCTCGCAGGCCTAGAATGGCCCAACTGAAGTGTGTGATGCCATTTCCAGAAGTCCGTTCTAGGCCTCGGAGGCCCAGGCCTGCATCGAATAAGAGAACCAGTTGTTCAGGTATTTGAATTCCACCACTGAACAGTTCATTTAGTGACCACAGCAACGAAAACAGGATCCTGTGACCATTTTTCAACGCTTAGAACCGTTGCAGCATCCCCGAAGGCCAGAAGGTGATCAAAAGATGATCACGTGACCCCGGGACATAGCAACCATCGTAAATATGAACCAGTTGCCAAGCATCCAAATTTTGATCACGTGACCATGGGGATGCTGCAACGTCGTAAGTGTGGAAAATGGTCATAGGTGACTTTTTTTAATGCCGTTGTAACGTCAAAGTCACTAAATGAATGGTTGTAAGTTGGGGACTGTATTCAGTAGCAACATCAGGAAGGGGTCTAGAGCAGGGGTGTCAAACTCGCAACATCACGTGACGTGTTGTGACGTATTGCAACTTTTTTTTCATTGCCAGCAATGGGGTGGGCGTGGTTTCGCATGACGCATCCGGCCCGTGGGCCGGCAGTTTGACACCCCTGCTCTAGAGACCCCAGGTGCTTAGGAGCGGTACACAATTGTGGGGCTTGAATTGTGCTCTCCTGCTACCGTCGCATGTGCAAACGATCCGGGGCGCCAGCAAAAGTTCCTTCCTACCTGATACTCCCATGTCCCATTTTCATGTAGCACAACCTTGGCAGAGCCCACTGCCCCTGTGTGGGTGGGTATCAACGCATTTGCTCCACAAAGCACACTCTGTATGGCTGGAAGAGAGAGGGGGGGGCGAGAGAGAGAGAGAAGGAAGGGGAAGTGATGCCTTTTGGATGACAACGTAGTGAGGTGAGCATGCTGACTGGGGAATTCTGGGAGTTGAAGTCCACCTATCTTACAGTTTGAAAACAACTGCAAGTTCTTTTTTGACTCATGACCACAACTTGAATCCAAAATTTCTGTTGCTAAGCGAGACAGTTGTGAAGTGACGTTTGCCCTATGTTATGACCTTTCTTGCCACAGTTGTGAAGTGAATCACTGCAATTCTTAAGTTAGTCAAATGGTGGTTAAGTGAATCTGGCTTCCCTCTGAGTGTTGGAAGAAGCTCGCAAAAGAGGATCACATGATGCTGCAACTGTCATAAGTATGAGCCAGTGGCCAAGCATCTGAATTTTGATCCCGTGACCACGGGGATGCCGCAATGATTGTAAGTGTGAAAAGCGGTCAAAAAGCCACTTTTTCCAGTGGCATTGTAACATTTGAACGGTCACTAAATGAATGTTTGTAAGTCCAGGGCTACTTGTACTTGATGTGCACAAAATTGCAAATCAATCTATATCTATACCTATACCTGTATCTATATCTATATATTCTTTTCTGGCTACATGAGTGGTTCTCAACCTGTGGGTCAGGACCCCATTTGGGGTCGAACGACCATTTCACGGGGGTCACCAAACAACACAGTCTGCCATTTTCCCCCCCTTTTCCTTAGCTGTGCTACTCCCTTTTATTCTATTGGCTTTTGAAAGCCAATAGAATAGACTCTCTTGAATAGAGTCTAATTCGATTGGCTTTCAAAAGCCAATAGGAATTGTCCAGGCTGTCTCTGCCCTGCTGAGCCCGCCAAAAGTCCCATTCTGCAAACGGTGCTGCACCAGTTGAGTAGTCCTCGATTTACGACCGGTTGAGTAGTCCTTGACTTAAGACCGGTTGGGGATTGCAGCATTAAAAAGGTTGAGAACCACTGGGCTACATCAATGCCAAAAGCTCATAAATCCTGCAAGGAGGAGAGTAGCCAGGATGAATAAGCCATGTGGAGCCCAAACCCCACTCACTGTCACAGCTTCTCCGGACCGTGATGTACCCAGCTAACTTGCGACGGACTCCACCTTCCACCTCTGCGGTCATTCTCAGCTGCCCCTGTGCCAGCCAGTGCATCTCCTGACTCCCCAATTCGACCAGCACCTCTGCAAAATCGGGGTCCTGGGAATGACAGCGAAAGCAGGCAAGCAAACGGCAGCAACTTCGTTAAGCGTTCCCCAAAGCCATTCGAAACGGGGTTTTAAAATGTCGGCTTACCTGTAAGGTGACATTAGCCAGAACCCGCCTCAGAACGCTGTCCTGGTGTAAGATTTGCACTCTTAGAGGGATCCGATCCGATTCTGCAAGAAAGCGGAGAAACAATTCATGCCACGAGCAGTGGTTGCAAGGCATTTTTTTCAGTATGGTCTGAAAACTTTGAAGAGTTGCTAAATGGCTGCTCGTATGTTGAGGGCTGCTTGTAAAAGTGAGAAGAATCCATCTGCAACGGGCATCACAGAGCTGGTCTACGGCAATTATTCTTTTCTCCAGTCTTGTGTTGTTCACGTTCTATCTCGGGACTTACGCCTAGCCTTGGTTTTCTATAGACTGAGCAGTTAAAACATGGAATTGGTTCTTGTTGATATAGAGCAGTATCTGCCTTCATTTACCTTTATTTTTTCTTTCTAAGATTGCCTGCAAGTCATTAATGGGGCATTAAAGATAGTTTAATTCACATTTGGTCTTTTATCCATCTCCTTGTGATAGGGAACTCACACAAAATTCTGGTGGCAGCCCACTGTTATTGGATTGGACTGGTTCAGTCTTAGCTAATTGGATGAGAGAATAACAGGTTAACAGAGTTGGAAGGGACCTTGGAGGTCTTCTAGTCCAACCCCCTGCTCAGGCAGGAAACCCTAAAGCAGTGATGGCGAACCTTTAAGAGACCGAGTGCCCAAACTGCAGCCCAAAACCCACTTATGCATTGTCGGGGTCCGGGTGTGTGTGGCCCATTGGGTGTGTGTGGCCCATTGGGTGGGCGTGGCCCATTGGGTGGGCGTGGCTGTGGCGGTAACAGCAGACTGGATGGGACTAAAAAGTTCAACCAATCAATTCCAACTTTGCAAGATCTTTTTTTTTCCTGCGAGAAATTGAAATTGACTGATTGATTGAACCTTTTTTTTTTTGTACACAGCAGCGGAGGCCTAAAGTGAAAAGATTTTATAAAACCCAGCTGAAGGCCTAGGATTGGGGCGACGGCGCGCGTGCCCAGAGAGAGGGCTCTGAGTGCCGCCTCTGGCACCCGTGCCATAGGTTCGCCACCACTGCCCTAAAGCCATTTCAGACAAATGGCTGTCCAGTCTCTTCTTAAAAGCCTCCAGTGTTGGAGCACCCACAACTTTTGGAGGCAAAAGTCGTTTCACTGATTAATTTTTCTCAATGTTAGGAAATTTCTCCTTAGGTCTAGGTTGGTTCTGTCCCTGAAGAGAACTTTTTCAGTCATGGCTTGCTCCTTCTTTGTGGCCTTGCTCACTTTTTTCTGCCGACTCCAGAAAGCCCTTAGTAACCAGGACAAAATGCAGATTGTTCTCTGTGTCGCTCAGGGTGAGCATAGCGATGCCTCCCATGTTAAGGTGAGTCGGGTCCACGGACGTCAAGATGGCGCTGAAAGTCTCTGAAAGAACAGAAGAGAACAAGACCTTATTGGCGTGGGTGTCAATGGCAGGCTCAAATATCTGGAGGTGATTAGAAAGTGGGATTATAGAGACCATCATTTCTTGTTTTCTCTTTTTTTGAGGATTCAACGTGGGTCTATTTCCATGTTCTCAGACCTATAAGGTAGTTTGTGAGCCGAAATAAACTCGTGTCAGCCCTCAGGATCCAGGGGAGGAAAAAGACACCACAAGAAATTGTAGAATTCTATAATATTGACATAGTGTCAACGCTACAAACGAATTTGCTAAAGCCATTTCTACTTCGTTTTCAGTTGCCACAGAATTGGGAGGGGGGGATGTGTACTTTTAAGTTTAGACAAAACAATAAATTGTCCTGTGGGAACCAAGGTCATTGCTGCCTGAATTTTGGTGGCCTGAAACATCCGTTAGAAAGCCCGCCAAAGTAGTTAATTGGGGAATGTGATTTATGACATATTACTGGGGTGGGAAGTTCAACTTTGTAACATTGTAATCTTTGGGAGGGAACTTCAGTCTTGGTTTCACTTTTGATCATGCAGCCAAATAAATATGTTCTTTAAGGAAACTCTTGCCTTGAAGTTCTGTTTTTACTGGTCTCATCTATCGGAACCATGACACATAGCCTATAATATTAAAATTTTAAAACCTAGCAGCATTTCCTTTTCTATCTCTCTTATACTAAAGACAAGGAAGCCAAAGCAATCTTGAGTTTCTTTCTCACATTTGTCTCTTTTCCTAACAGTTGCTCCTTACTTTTTCACAGCCTTCTCTGTAAACCTTTACATCAGGGGTAGCCAACTTTGGCAATAGTAAGACTTGTGGACTTCATTTGCCACAATTCCCCAGCATGGCTGGCTGAGGAATTCTGGGAGTTGAAGTCCATAAGTCTTACAAAATTGCTGAGATTAGATACCCCTAGTCTACATCTGGCAAACTTGCAACCAAATCAAATCTATATCCTAAATTTCAACATTCAAACATGACCTTCACCATTCTGGGACCCATTGTGTGTCTTGAACCACAAGTCCCAAGATACTTAGCAGCCAGATCCCAACCCCTGGAATTTCTGGGAGTTATAGTTTAACACCTGGAAGAAAAGAAAAGCCACGAAGCCAGAGGAGGTCAAGTCCAACCCTGTCAAGGTAATAATTTAACAGCTAAACAGCTTATGTAATGATATAAGAAAATGTAATGAAATGCAATGTAATGTAAGGTGGATGATGCAATGATAGGAATGACTCAGCAGGGTTTATGTCTCTTTAAGAACAAGCAGGGTCTGTATCCCTTTAAGAGCCTGAGTATAAAAGGGAAGGCTTTGCTGAAGTGTCTCTCTCTTTCTCTCTCTTGTCCGTTTCCTGCTGTAACTGCTGGAGTTGTTGGAGTTTGCTATATTACCACGTGGATGTATATTGTTCCTGGTGTATGATATTGTAGATAGTGTAATATAAATCACCATTTAATACAAACTACTGTTTACTGTACTTACTCCTGGCTTATCTCAGCGCAATACAACTGTACATGCTCTGACAAACTCTTATTTAGATTGGTCCAAGCAGCTTGAGATAATATTCTATTTTAAGGATGCCTTATCTTTTGAACCAGATTTGTGGACTCTTTGTGTGACTTGGAAGGTTAAAAACTTCACAGTCTTGAAAAAGCTCCCCGAGATAACCCTGGCTACTTAAACCACAGATTACCTGCAAAGAGAGCCCGATGCTTGACAATCTGGCCTTGAACCTGCCCTGCAGGATGAGTCTGGGTGATCAGGGTGATGCGCATTTGATCCACCTTCAACATTCGGATCGAGGCCTTTTGCAAATTCCGCCACATGCCACAGATCTAGAAAAGACGAGGATTGAGGAGAAAGTGTGGAATGAAACCCGGGACCCCCAAACCAATAATCAAGGCTCACTGTATTGCACTGTAATGCACTGCAATGTGCAGTGGAGGGATTCCCTTCGGGAAAAAATGGGAGAGACTCCTATAGACCAGGGCTTTTCAACCAGTGGTATGGGTACCACCTGTGGTACATTGGCACCTGGCAGGTGGTACGCGACCATCCTATAAAAGTGGTAGTGGGGAAGGGGAATGAGCTGAACTGGTGGCAGCACCGCACAAGCCTGAGCGAGAGATGGCTGGAGCTGCAGGGCTGTCAGGGCTCAGCGGAAGCGCCAGGATCAGTGCCGCTTTCCAGCTGATCAGTGCTTCGGGGCTGTCAGGGCTCAGCAGAAATGCCAGGATCAGCACCAGTCTCCAGCTGGAGCTCAGTGCTGATCCTGGTGCTTCTGCTGAGCCCTGAAGAAGCACTGATCAGCTGGAATGTTGCAGCATCTCCAGGGTCTTGTGATTTACATTCAGATGCTTGGCAACTGATTCATATTTATGATGGTCACAGTGTCCCAGGGTCATGTGAAGTGACCAAAACCTGCTGCAACCACCCAGCAGACGGGGGTGGGGGGATAAAAACCAAACACACCCCCACCCCACCTCCATTGCCAGTCTTCAACAGAAATCCTCACAACAATGAAAACCTCGGACAGGAGGAAGAGCATCGCCGGGTGGGCAGGCAGGTGTCTTGCTCAGCTTGGGGGGCACTTTTTTCAGTGCCATTGTAACTTCGAACAGTCACTAAGCGAACTGTTGTAAGTCAAGGACTACCTGTACTTTATCACTTTTTTCCTTTTTTTTTTTTTGGTCATCAGGTTTTTGACACCTTGCTAGGCGACTGGTGGTACTCGGATGTTGCCATATCCTAGAAGTGGTATAATGGGTGAAAAGGTTGAAAAGCCCTGCTATAGACAAAAGGAGGCTGCCGCGTGTCTCACATTGTATAGGATCCCCTACCTGAGCAGGGGGTCAGACTAGAAGACCTCCAAGGTGCCTTCCAGCTCTATTCTGAATTGATTGTAGTCAACTTACCATACCATCTTGGAAGACGGTGCCCTGTTGTACAGGATGTTCAAAAAGGACAGTCCCATCTGGCTCCGAGAAACGGACACGGATTGGCTGGCTCAGCCTAGACAAGGGGAGGATGCGAACAGAATTTAGCACTTCAAAAACAGGAATATTCATATATATATATTTTTGAGTTTCCTGAAACAGTACCTATACCAGTGGTTTTCCACCTGTGGGTCGGGACCCCATTTGGAGTCGAACGACCATTTCACAGGGGTCGCCAAACAACGCAGTCCGCCATTTTTTCCCCCCTTTTCCTTAGCTGTGCTACTCCCTTTTATTCTATTGGCTTTTGAAAGCCAATAGAATAGACTCTCTTGAATAGAGTCTAATTCTATTGGCTTTCAAAAGCCAATAGGAATTGTCCAGGCTGTCTCTGCCCTGCTGAGCCCACCAAAAGTCCCATTCTGCAAACGGTGCTGCACCAGTTGAGTAGTCCTCGACTTACGACCGGTTGAGTAGTCCTTGACTTACGACCGGTTGGGGGTCGCGGCATTAAAAAGGTTGAGAACCACTGACCTATATCATTTCAGACAAGTGGCTGTCCAGTCTTTTCTTAAAAAACCTCCAGTGATGAAGCACCTACAGCTTCCGGTGGCAAGCTGTTCCACTGGTTAATTGTTCTCCCTTTTAGGAAGTTTCTCCTTAATTCCAGACTTTCTCTCTTCGATTAGTTTCCATCCATTGTTTCTTGTCTTGCCTTCTGGTGCTTTGGAAAATAAGTTGACTCCCTCCTCTTTGTGGCAGCCCCTCAAATACTGGAATATTACTATCACATCCCCCCCCCCCCCAGTCCTTCTCATCTCTTGACTGGCCATACCCAGTTCCCATCTAACTTTAAAATAAAAGCATTTAAAAAAAAAAAAAAAAAAAGTCTGCACTTTCAGAGAGGCCAAATCGCTGCTAAAAAGTTAGGAGCAAATGCAGCTCTCCCCCCAAACCGTGTAAATCTTTACATAAATAAATAAAGGAAACAGGGCTTTGGGTAGCCAAAAACAATTCCTCTCCACGCTTCTGCCCCCCCCCCCAAATCCTCTCCAAAGGCAGAGGGCGCTTCTCGGCTTCTCCAAAGTTGAGAAGCTGTCATGTTTTGGCCTTGCCGGGAATCATAACAACCACAAACGCTGGCTGCTTTGGGGATCGGAGTGCACATGTGGAAATTAGTCATCACTTGGCTATGCAAAGGCGGGGGGGGGGGAAATCTGGGGTGGGTGGGTAGGGGAGACACGATGTGTCCCTGCACTACGGAGGCATGTGCAGTTCAGCTCATGCAGTGAGCTGAAGGCAGATTTTGTAATTGCGGGAGGGGAGGTTAATCAATCAACGTTGAGACCCCCTCCCCATCTGCTCCCCCAGCCATGCACGAGGCAGAGACAGATTAAACCCCCATGAAACCCCATTGGGAGAAAGAGCGAGTAAGCAGAGGCTGCAGGGCTGGGATGATAAAGCACCCAAACTGTTCATTGGACCATGACCCCTCTCCCCTCCCTCTCCCTCCCCCCCACGTTCCCCTCCCTCCTGGCTTTCCAATTTGTATTCAGTCATCCTCATCCTAACTGTAGGGGGGCGGGGGGGGGGGGGGAAGAAAGAGCTTTGGACCAGGGATGAATCTGCTGCAAAGCCAAGCTAGAATTCTCCAGCGCCTGGTTTGGAGAAACACAGCTGCTTATTAGAACGGAGTACCGAGTACAAGGATGAAGAAAGGGAGGTGTGGAGAGGACAGCAGCTGAAATTAAACCCAAGGAAGAGTTTTGCATTTATCTTATCGTGGGATAAGTTCATGTGTTCATGGCTAAGTTCATGGCTGGCTGGGGCATTCTGGGAGTCGAGGTCTTAAAAGTTGCCAAGGTCGGACATCCCATTGGTGGCTTCTCCCTGGCTGACGTTGTTCAAACCAGGGCTAGGTGGGCACTATTCCTCGTTCCTCATGCAGATCCCTACACTGACCCAGCAAGTTCAACTAAATTACCTTTAAAGTCCCTTCCAGCTCATAGGTTTTATGATTCTTCCGTTTTGTCTTGAACGTAATGGGTTTGATCTGGCCTCTTATTTATTTATTTATTTATTTATGAGACTTATATACCGCTTTAAGTGCAAGCACTCTCTAAGCGGTGTACACCAGTAAGCAATGTGTGTGTGTATGTGTGTGTATATATATATATATATATATATATATATATATATATATATATATATATATATATATATGAAATGAATAAAGCGCGTTCACCAGGAGAGTTTAAAGTTAAAATACTTTAATTAAAGTATTTTACTATATTAAAAGGTTGCCAAGCTTTCGTTGGGAAAACTCCCCAACATCTTCAGGGCTGAGAGACCGTTTCTAACAAGGTGATTCAAACGGGTTCCATAGAATCACCCAACGAAACCTTGGCAACCTTTTAATATAGTAAAATACTTTAATTAAAGTATTTTAACTTTAAACTCTCCTGGTGAACGCGCTTTATTCATTCCATTTATAATTATGCCCGGGAGTCGCATTTTCACCATCATTATTGAATATATATATATATATATATATTTACATTGCCCCCAACAGTCTGGGTCCTCATTTTACCTACCCCGAAAGGATGGAAGGCTGAGTTAACCTTGAGCCGGTGAGATTTGAACCGCTGACCTGCTGAACACAGTCAGCCAAAGTGGTCTGCAGTACTGCACTGTAACTGCTGCGCCACCTCGGCTCAAATTTTATGGGAAATTCCTCCACCCCATCTCTATGCATAAAGGCCTGGAGACTAAAACATAGGAAGAACGGTTGCAGGAAGTGGGTATGGCCAGTCTGGAGAAAAGAAGGACCAGGGGGAACATGACTGCAATGTTTCAGTATCTGAGGGGCTGCCACAAAGAAGAGGGGGGGTCAACTTATTTTCCAAAGCACCTGAAGGCAGGACGAGAAACAACAGGTGGAAACTAATCAAGGAGAAAAGCAACCTGGAATTAAGGAGAAACTTCCTGACAGTTAGGAGAATTAACCAGTGGAATGACTTGCCTTCAGAAGCTGTAGCTGCTTCATGACTGGAGACTTTTAAGAAGAGACTAGACCAGTGATGGCGAAACTTTTAGAGACCAAGTGCCCAAATTGTAACCCAAAACCCACTTATGCATTGTCGGGTGCCGGGTGGGTGTGGCCCATTGGCTGGGTGTGGCCCATTGGCTGGGCGTGGCCCATTGGGTGGGCGTGGCTGCAGTGGTAACCGCAGACTGGCTGGGACTAAAAAGTTCAATCAATCAATTCCAACTTTACAAGATCTTTTTTTTTCCCCACGAGAAGTTGAAATTGACTTATTGATTGAACTTTTTTTTTTTTTTTTTTTTTTGCACACGGCAGCCTAAAGCGAAAAGGTTTTATAAAACCCAGCTGAAGGCCTAGGACTGGGGCGATGGCGCGCGTGCCCACAGAGAGGGCTCTGCATGCCACCTGTGGCACGCGTGCCATAGGTTCGCCACCACCGGTATAGGTCCTCTGCTTGAGTAAGGGGCTGGACTAGAAGACCTCCAAGATCCCTTCCAGCTCTATTCTGATTCTGATTCTGAATCTACGGGGGGGGGACATCAGATGGAGACACGAGTGAGACTCACCCACCTTTCATAATTAATGGAGAAGATCAGATGCAAGTGTGTGAAAGTGAATTTGGCTTTGGCCACCGCGCTGGTTGCAGCCCCCCTCGGATCTGAGCCCCCGATCAGCAGCGCCACAAAATCTGAGAAACAAAAAAAGAAGTTGGTGTGATCTGACACTGCACGCAACCTGGAAATAAATTCACGCACAGTATTCATTGCTTAAATACAGGCAGTCCTTGACTTATGAATGATCGCTTAGCGACAGTTCAAATCAATGATGGGCCTTTCTGGGAGCCCTTGCAATCCAGATTTGAAATTACAACTGTTGGAGGGTTCTGACTGTGCAGGTAGTCCTCCATGTACAGCCACAACTGAGCCCAAAATTTATGTTGCTAAGTGAGGCCTTTGTTCGGTGAGTTTCACTCCATTTTACGACTTTTCTTGCTAACGTTGTGAAGCCAATCACTGCAGCTGTTGTAAGTAACATGGTTGTTAAGCATCCAAATTTCGATCATGTGACCGTGGGGATGCTGCAGTGGTTGTAAGTATGAAAAATGGTCATAAGTTCCTTTTTTCAGTCCCACTGTAACTTTGAGCGGTCACTCAATGAACTGTCATAAGTCGAGGACTACCTGTGCTTGGCGGGCTATACTTGGTTTGGAGAGGCACAGGGTACAATTGAGCCCAACATTGCCTTTGCTAAGTGAGACAGTTGCTAAGCAGTTTTGCCCCACTTCACAACCTTTCTTGCCACAGTTTGTTCCCCGAATAAATGCAGTTGTTAAGTTAGCAACACGGTTGTGAAGTGAATCTGGATTCCCCATTGATTTTGCTTGTCAGAAGATCGCGAAAGGGAATCACATGATCCCGGGATAGTACAACCGTCATAAATATGGACCAGTTGCCAAGGATCTGAATGTAAATCACACGACTTTCCTGGTCAAGAGGTCACAAAAGGAGATCCCATGACCTTGGGACACGGCAACCGTCACAAGTATGAACTGCCGGCCAAGCATCCGAATTTTAATCACATGACCCCAAGGATGCTGCCATGGTTATAAGTGTGAAAAACGGTCACTAAACTTCGAACAGTCACTAAACAAACTTGTTGTAAGTTGAGGACTACCTGCACTAAATGTGCCTGGAAGATAAAAGTCTGCAACACTACATCCTATGGTTACACACAAACACACGCACCCAGTGGTGGGATTCAAATATGTGAACAGCCGGTTCTTTGTGTGGATGCTTCTTCTGGAAGTTCGTTCTGGGCCTGAACAACAAAAAATTAGCTACCGGTTCTGCCAAACTGGTGCGAACCGGCTGAATCCCACCACTGCACGCACCCTGGAATCAGGTCCTGGGCACCAGCTCACCCGTACCTATCTGGCTGTTGTCTCGGATCAAGTCCTCAGAGCTGAAGTAGGCACGGTCGTTGTAGTTCCTGTGTAAGCCATTTTCTCTCTCCTGAAAGTACTCAATCTTGTCAAACAGCTGCTGCCCAGATTTTTTCTCCAGGGTGTTGGCAGGGGCTGCATGAGCAGAACAGAGAGAGAGAGAGGAAGCATCAAAAATAAGAGCCATCTGCATACAGGGTGTCCTCCACTTACGACCACAATCGAGGCCGGAATTTTTGTCGCTTAGTGAGACGTTTGTTAAGTGAATTTTGCCCCATTATATCACCTTTCTTGCCAGCGTTGTTAAGTGAATCACTGCAGTGGTTAAATTAGTAACACGGTTGTTGAGTAAAAATCTGGTTTTCCCATTGACTTTGCTGACTGGAAGGTCGCAAAAGGGGGGTCACGTGACCCTGGGACACTACCACGGTCATAAATGTGAGTCAGTTCCTAAACACCACGTGATTATGGGGAGGCTGCAGTGGTCTTAAGTGTGAAAAATGGTCACAAGTCCCTTTTTTCGGTGCCGTTGTAACTTCAAACGGTCACTAAATGAAGTGTTGAAAATCGAGGACTATCTATATTTGTTCCGTGAGATATACTGATTAACTGTTTTGTTCAGGAGCCAGCTCAAGATGCTAATTTTGACTGTAAAGCCCTTCATGGCAAAAGACTTGAGGGATAGCGTCTTCCCAGTTACACCCGCCTGCCCCATCAGATCTGGCAGAAAAGGTGTGTTGCAGGTTTTGTCTGCCAAGGAGTAACCTCTGCCATGGAATTACACAAGAGACCCTATGGCACCTACTCTATGGAAACGTTATCCCTCAGGTGAGGATGGCACCATCTCTGCCCTTTTTCTAGACGTCTCTCAAAACCTGCTTGTGCTGACAGCCCAAAATGATTTTCCATAACAACAGTGTAGAAATGTCATTTCTTCCAGGAAATGTTTCAAGTTACTAAGAGTAGGCAAAGCCAATCTTGGTCCAATCTTGGCTAAACTGTTTCAAAACCAACCAAGGAGAGCTAACCGTTGCCACCCAGCCTTATAGTGCCATGGTATGAAATAATAATAACTAGATCACAGGTCAGCAACCTGCGGCTCCGGAGCCACATGTGGCTCTTTGGGCCTTCCCTTGTGGCTCCCAGCCTCCTCTGCCATTTGCAGAGAGAGACAGAGACAGAGAGAGGCAATTGCGCTTCCCTGCTTCTCTCTCTCTCTCTCTCTCTCTCTCTCTCTCTCTCTCTCTGTGTGTGTGTGTGTGTGTGTGTATGTGTGTGTGTGTGTGTGTGTAAAAGAGAGTGCACTCACAATGTTCTCCGAGGAGCTGAAAAGCTTATTGGGCGGAGGGTCTCTGCAGGAAGGAGGAAGCAGGAAGGGCAGGAGAGAGTTAGCTAGCCCAGCTATGCTGACTCAGGAATTCATTCTGGGAGTTGAAGTCCATGAGTCATAAAAGAGCTGAGGTTGCCTACCCCTGAGCTTGTTGGAGAACAGCTTGAAGCCAGCTTGCCAGGTGAGCAGCAGATAGGAGAGAGGGAGAGAGGGGGGAGAGAAAGAGAGAAAGAGAGAGGGAGGGAGGGAGAGAGAGAGAGAGGAAAGAGAGAGAGAGAAAGAAAGAGCGTGGGGGAAGAGGACTGGTAGACCAAGGGCAGATAGAGAGGGAGGGAGGGAGGGAGAGAGAGACAGAGAGAGAGAGAGATCCTTTTGACATCTAAAATGATGATAACACTGCATATATCCTTTTTTACCTGTGTGTGTATGTATACACATATCTAAAGTGTTTTGTTTTCGGTGGGAAATGGGTCCAAGTGGCTCTTTCGGTGGGAAACGGGTCCAAGTGGCTCTACCCCTGAACTAGACAAACCATGATTCCTTGCGTCATCATTCCAGAGAGGATTGCCTTACCAGATCCCTTAATGGCTGCAACAACTGCAGAGCCTCTGAAGTACTTGAAAACTTCTTAAACTTCAGGGAGATATTCAGAGATGTATCTCCCTGTGTTGAACTATGTGGCACAGTCAAACATCAGGAGCTGACCCTGGGAAAAATTATGACCTAATTTTGCATGAAGTCCTAAAATGCTTTATACAATTTGCCAAATTTTCAATTCCACAGTAGCCAGGGATCCTAGAATTTGGACGCATTTTGTAAGTTTGCACCTTGAAGTGACTCGATTGAAAAGGTTTTGCCATGTGCTGCCTGTTTCACCCAATTAAAGATTACAGACACGAGACTTCTGGTTGATAAATGCAGGGATGAGGGGAATAAAAGCCTCTCTTTCCCCCTAGTGTGTGAAAACAAAAATAAGGCAGGTTGAGGAAACAGCATTTGAACTTCAGGACACAAGAAGAGAAAAGAATAGGACCGTGGTGGCGAACCTATGGCACACATGCCCACAGGTGGCACACAGAGCCGTCTCTGGTGACACGCGAGCCATTTCTGAGCCAAGCTGTTCCCTCCTCCGCGCATGTGCAGCTCTCCGCACATGCGAAGTCTGGGAATAGTCGAGAGGCTATAAAAGGAGTAACTTTCGGCGGAAGCAGCATTTGCTGCAGACAGTGAGCAAGCGAGCGAGCACAAGTTGGAGCAGACAGCGAGCAAGCGAGCTGACAGCTCAGGGGCCACGCCCACTCGGTGGCCACGCCCACCTGGCACCCGGCGATGCATAAGTGGGTTTTGGGTTGCAGTTTGGGCACTCTCTAAAAGGCTCGCCACCACTGGAATAGGACATAGAATGACAGAGTTAGAAAGGACTTGGAGATCATCTAGTTCTAGTCTAAACCCCTGCCCAAGCAGGAGACCCCTATACCAGGGGTAGGCAACCTTGGCTCTTTTATGACTCATGGACTTCAACTCCCAGAATTCCTGAGCCAGCATAGCTCAGCTTGGAAACCTCTATCTTTCTCCTCAGCATGGCTGGCTCAGGAATTCTGGGAGTTGAAGTCCACGAGTCATAAAAGAGCCAAGGTTGCCTACCCTTGCCCTAGGCCTAGGCCGCTTTATGACTCATGGACTTCAACTCCCAGAATTCCTGAGCCAGCATGGCTCAGCTTGGAAACCTCTCGCTTTCCCCTCAGCATGGCTGGCTCAGGAATTCTGGGAGTTGAAGTCCACGAGTCATAAAAGAGCCAAGGCTGCCTACCTCTGGCCTAGGCCTAGGCCGCTTTATGACTCATGGACTTCAACTCCCAGAATTCCTGAGCCAAGCATGGCTTAGCTTGGAAACCTCTCGCTTTCCCCTCAGCATGGCTGGCTCAGGAATTCTGGGAGTTGAAGTCCACGAGTCATAAAAGAGCCAAGGTTGCCTCTACCCTTGCCCTATACCATTCCAGACAAATAGCTGTCTAGTCTCTTCTTGAAAACCATCAGTGATGGAGCATCCACAGCTTGTGGAGGCAGGTTGTTCCACTGATTAACTGTTCTCACTGTCAGGAAATTTCTCCTTAAATTCTAAATTGGTTCTCTCCTTGATAAGTTTCTGTCTGTTATTTCTTGTCCTGCCTTCAGGTGCTTTGGAGAATAGCTTGACTCCCTCTTCTTTGGGGCAGCCCCTCAGATATTGGAGCACTGCTATCATGTCACCCCTAGTCCTTCTTTTCATTAAACTAGGCATACCGGATTCCTGCCAGTTCTTCATATGGTTTAGCCTCCAGTCCCCTGATCATCTTTATTGCTCTTCTCTGCACTCTTTCTAGAATCTCCACATCATTTTTGTACGGTGGTCACCAAAACTGGATGCAGTAGATCAGGGGTCTTCAAACTTGGCCCGTTTAGGACTTGTGGACCAATTCCCAGAATTCCTCAGCCAGCATCCCTGGCTGAGGAATTCTGGGAGCTGAAATCCACAAGTCCTAAAAGGGCCAAGTTTGAAGGCCCCTGCAGTAGATTAAAAACGACAGCTCCTGACACCCACCAATGATCTTCTCTTTCAAAATCAGACCCGCATCCTTCTTCACACAGTTACACGTGTGCTGGGCAGACAAACAAAAGAATCAAGATGCCGCTATTCTAGGCCTTGGGTCTGGTATATGGGGCCAATGCTGGAACTGAATTGCCCCAATATCTCTGGGGAAAGAAAAGCGGTTTCCCAACACTTGGGAGGGTCCCTGGATTCCCCCTCATATCCCACAGAGCAGCGTCAGGATAGAGAATCCGACATCTGAAAGGAACGGGAGAATTTATGGCATCTACATGCGATGATTCATGCTGCCCAAAGTTGTTTTTTATTTATGATTTTTCAAACACGTTTGGGTGGCATTTTGTAAACGGCTAGGCGAGCCACAGGCCGCAGGCTTCAGACGGCAGCGAGACCTCCTTGTGCCATCCACCACAACAGGACAAAGTCTCCCTTTCACTCTGGTTCCCTCGTACTCCCAAGTAAAATACTCCGAACGTGAAATCAACATATCCAAACCAAATTGCGGTGATTTTGTCATGTCAGCAAAGTAACTGAGGATTCAGAGCCGGGTGGAAAGAGAGAGTCCTGTCCTTACTCTGATTCAGACTCGGGATACTGGTTCAGCTGGTGATTATTTTTCTTTATACACGTAGTCCTCGAACACCAAGTGAGGCCAACATTTCTGTCGCTAAACCAGACCGTTGTGAAGTGAGTTTTTCCCCACCCATTTTACGATTTTTCTTGCCACAGTTGTTTAAGTGAATCACTGCAGTTATTAACTCAATAACGCGATTGTTAAGTGAATCCGGCTTCCCCATTGACTTCACTGGTCTGAAGGTCACAAAAGGGGGACACTGCAACCGTCATAAATATGAGTCAGTTGACAAGCACCTGAATTTTGATTACATGACCACGGGAAAGCTGCACCCATTGTAAGTCCTCTCGCTGGGCCCCCGATTACGACAAGAAGTGTTCTGTATGCAGCTGTCAAGTAGATGGGAGGACCACAGCAACGTGGACAGGTAGTCCTTGACTTACGACCACAACGGAATACAAAATTTATGTTGCTAAACAAGACAGTTGTTAAGTGGGATTTGCCTCGTTTTATGATCTTACCTGCCACAGCTATTAAATGAATCACCACAGTTGATAAATTAGTCACATGGTTGTTAAGTGAATCTGGCTTCCCCCATTGACTTTGCTTGTGAGAAGGTCGCAAAAGGGGATCATGTGACCCAGGGACACTGCAACCGTCATAAGTACGTGGCAGTTGCCAGGTGTCTGAATTCTGATTGCGTGACTGTGGGGTGCTGCAACAGTTATAAGTGTGAAAAACAGTCGTAAGTCACTTTTTTTCAATGCCGTTGTAACTTTGAATGGTCACTAAATGAATGGTGGTAAATTGAGGGCTCCCTGTAAAGCCAAACCAGATTGGACTTATCCAATCTCAATTGGATCTTCTTTAATTTCACATAACCACACGGGCCGACGTAAGGAACTTCAGATTATGTTGGACAGTAATTCCCACCACGTATCCTCACTGGCCCTATTTGCTAAGCTGGAAAAAGGATTTCCACACATACGGGAAGCCAAACGAGAGAGCAATGTCTCTATTTTCTTACTGGCCTTATTCAGCATAGTAGGTAGTCCTTGTCTTACAAAATTCATTGACTGTGTAGTCACTTACAACGGCCCTGAAAAAAGTGACTTATGACCATTTTTCACACTTATGACCATTGCAGCATCCCCACGGACACAAGATCAAAATTCGGGTGCTTGGCAACTGGCTCATATTTATGACGGTTGCTGTGTCCCTGGGGTCACGTCTTCCCCTTTTGTGACGGTCTGACAAGGTCAGAATTTCACAAAGCAACTGCGACAATGAGGATTGTAAAATGGAGCAAAACTTTAACAACAGTCTCATTTAGCAACAGAAAATTGGGGTCATAAGTTGAGGACTACCTGTAGTTTTAGGAAAAGATGGTGCTAAGTAATACCACTGCAATAATCATTACTTATCAAATGATAAGGATAATAAAAATTTCATCCTCCTTCCCAAAGTCCTACAAATATTAGGATATGGAAGACTGTCATTATGGGGAGGAATTGGAGGTGATCGCTATTTTTAGTTTTAGTTTCTTTAGCATATGCAAATGAGTTGCACATGCCGATTTTAAATTATTTAAAAGGATCAAGCTGGCAGTATGTCCATGAAAAATACAATTCTTCAGATATAAAAATTCATATATATATATATATATATATATATATATATATATATATATATATTCGCGTTTAAGAAAATTAAAAACATGAACCCTGGGAATATTCATAGTAAGAAATAAAATGATCACCAGGGTAATAAAAACTATAAAATTTAATAAAAAGCGCCTAGCTTTCGCCGTCACCTGCCGGCATCCTCAGGGCTAGTGCGCCAGGGAGTGAGAGAGTCACTTTTATAGGTGTAACAAAGCCTGCGCAATGCTGCTCGAAGCACGAAACTGAAAACACCAGCCTGAAGATGACGAATGGGACTTCGTCGAAACGTCGCCAAGACACTTCCAATTTTACGCGGGAGAAAACCCGAACAACCAAAGACATATATATATATATATATAGCTTGTTTATACATTTTGTTAATCTGGGTTTATAAAGTTGGTTTGAAAATGAAAAGGTTTTTTTTCTCCTTGAGTTATCTTTAAAGTTGGTAACGTATTATTGAAAGTGAATTTTAATGTACGTATGTTAAGAGGAAATTTAAAAAAGAGTAAATTTTAAAAGAACTTATTTCAGAAATGTTTTTAAAGAAAAGTTTAATGTTTTAAAATTTAGAAAAAAAGTATTTCTTTTCCTTTTGGGGTATTTTTTTTTTGAAAGAATAATCTGAATTTTATTAATATGAATTATGATAGCCTATAAATATTAATGAAACAGAAATACATATTAGTTCCCGCAACAAGGAACAGCCAAGATTGTTCAATCGATTCTTTTATTCAAAGAAGACAATATATTTAATTTTGTTTCTACTTGGAAATTGCTTCCAGACTGTGTGCTTGTGATGGGGGGGAAAATGAAATTTTCTCTTTGTTTCTATGGATTAGATAGGTTTGTTGTTATAGAAATGGCTAGTATATACTATTGTATAAAAATAAAAAGTTGAGATTATAATGTTATTACCTTCTACTGTGCCAAAGAGAGTTGGAAGTCAACGCCTTTTTTCTTTTTCAGTTCCTATTCCACATTTTCTCTTTTTCCCTTTTCCCTTCCCCTAGTTTTCCATTACTTCTTATTTCCCTTAAATATTGGAACACTGCCATCATGTCGCCCCTAGTCCTTCTTTTCATTAGACTAGATCAGAGGTAGGCAACCTTGGCTCTTTTATGACTGGTGGACTTCAACTCCCAGAATTCTTGAGCCAGCCATGCTGAGGGGAAAGGGAGAGGTTTCCAAGCTGAGCCGTGCTGGCTCAGGAATTCTGGGAGTTGAGGTCCACGAGTCATGAAGGAGCCATAGTTCCCCCATGCTGGCTCAGGAATTCTGGGAATTGAAGTCCACGAGTCATGAAGGGGCCATAATTCCCCCATGCTGGCTCTGGAATTCTGGGAGTTGAAGTCTACCCATCTCCGAGTGGCCAAGGTTGAAAAATACAGGCCTAGGCCAGGGATAGGCAACCTTGGCTCTTTTATGATTCGTGGACTTCAACTCCCAGAATTCCTGAGTCAGCTATGCTGAGGGGAAAGGGAGAGGTTTCCAAGCTGAGCCATGCTGGCTCAGGAATTCTGGGAGCTGAAGTCCACAAGTCATAAAAGAGCCAAGGTTGCCTACCCAGTTCTAGCAACCGTTCTTTATTATATATGTTTTAGCCTCCTGATCGTCCTGATTGCTCTTTTCTGCACTCTGTCTCGAATCTCAACATCTTTTTTACACTGTGGCGACCAAAAGTGGATGCAGTATTCCAAGTGTGGCCTTACCAAGGCCTTGTAAAGTGGTATTAACACTTCGCGCGATCCTGAATCTATCCTTCTGTTAATACAGCCTAGCACTGTGTTGGCTTTCTTGGCTTGTCATCCAAGAAGCTTCTTGATTTTGGGCTTCTCATCCAAGAAGCTTCTTGGATGAGAAGAAAAACATTTTTTTAAAAAAAAACAACAACCAAGAAGGTCCAGTTGCCTTTTGGAAAAGAAAAAAAAAAGCACCTTTGGGATAAGCGTAACCTGGATGACTGAGAATCTCCATAAGCTGTCTGTGAGGGCCATCTAGTTTTGAACTCCAAGCCTTTACTCAGTGTACCCAGATGGCTCCAGACAACTTCCTTCTGTCCAAACATTGGCTCTGTCCAGCTGTTGGGAGCAGACAAGGGCAGGTGTGTGCAGGGTGTTATGGAGATAAACACATCGCCTTCTTAGTCATCTCGGGAAAGCTAAACAAATGGGAAATAGACTATACAAGGGAAAGCACAGGGCACCAAAAATCAACACACCAAATAAACAAGAGAGGAGCTTACATCTGCCCTACTGAATGCATTGGCCTCCTGTCTGCCATCTGATGCAGAGCCTGGACTGAACGGCGGAGCTGAGGCGGAAAAAGAGGTAACTGACAGAGAGAGAGAGAGAGAGAGTAGTCCAGTTGCCTTTTCAGAAGCACTTTTGGGATTAACTCTGCTTGTGGCAAGTTGGTTGCAAGCTAGTTGTGATGCTGATCAAGTGACTGCAGATGGCGCGACCATTATAAATGTCAGAATTGTTTGCCAAGCTGTTTTTTTTTCCCACACTGCCGTAACTTTGAACGGTCACGAAACAAGGCCTCCAGTAAGCGAGGACCACCTGTAACTGGCTTACCTTTGGGGCAGGATTTGCAACATTGTCCTGGAAGCGCAATAGGGTCAGCACAAGGAAGCTTGGGGCAGCTATGCTTAATGTTCTTACAGCTGACTTTGCCTGCAGGTTTCCCTCTCCGATTTCTCTGCTGGGGGGAAAAAAACAACAGGAAATTCTTACAATAGATTCTTCTGGCATAGCTGACTCAGGAATTCTGGGAGTTGAAGTCCATGAATTATAAAAGAGCCGAGGTTGACTACCCTGCAGTGGTTCTCAACCTGTCTAATGTCGCGACCCTTTAATACAGTTCCTCATGTTGTGGTGACCCCCAACCATAAAATTATTTTCGTTGCTACAGCATAACTGTAATTTTGCTACTGTTAGGAATCGTAATGTAAATATCTGATATACAGAATGTATTTTCATTGTTACCAATTGAACATAATTCAAGCATTACATGTAATTATATGTTTTCCGATGGTCTCAAGCGACCCCTGTGAAAGGGTCGTTCGACCCCCAAAAGGGGTCGCGACCCACAGGTTGAGAACCGCTGACTATGCAGAACCTTCCCATCCAGGCAATGTCCTCGTATCGTGTGCATTGGATGCTACAATAATTTATCATCAATATATTGTCAACTTTTGGCAGCCAAATAGATCCAAATTTATTTTCACACTCGTCTTTCAATCCTATTCCTTCGAAGTGGGGGAGGAAGCCATTTTGAATTGTTCTTGATCTACAAAGGAAAGGCTACAGATAGTTCTCAACTTGCAATCATTAATTTAGTGGCTGTTCGAAGTCACCATGGCACTGAAAAAAAGTGACTTATGGCCATTTTCCACACTTAGGGCCTTTCCAGCATCCCCACGATCACGTGATCAAAATGCAGACGCTGGGCAACTGGCATGTACTTATGACGGTTGCAATCTCCCGGGATCAGGTGACCCTCTTTTGTGACCTTCTGACAAGCAAAGTTAATGGGGGAAGGCGGATTCCCTTAACAACCGTGTGACTAGCTTAAGAACTGCAGTGATTCACTTAACAACTGTGGCAAACAAGATGTTCCAGAACAACTTGCCCACATGCTGGAAATGTAAAAAAGTACATGGAACATATTATCATTTACGGTGGACATGCCCAGTTGCAAAAAAATACTGGTCTACAATAAGAAAATGGATCGAAGAAATAATAGACCAACCCGTAGACTGGAAACCAGACATCTTTTTGTTGGGTATTTTAAACAGAAAATATGGTAAAGAAATAGGGTACTTAATTTTACATATAATAACGGCGGCAAAAATAGCATATGCACAGTGCTGGAAAAATGAGAATATACCATCAGAGGAAGAAGTAATAAGAAAAATCCTGGACTGTGCTGCGATGGACAAATTAACAAAAGAGATAAAAGAAAAGGAAGACACAGAGTATTATATAATATGGAACAAGTGGTATGATTGGTTGGAGACTAGAAATAATAGAGGAGAATAAATATGGAAAGGTCAAAAGTGAAAATATGTGTATAATAATGTATAATAATAATATGAATTATTCTTAGTAAGAAGTAGAACATGAAGGAAGAAAAATGTAAATAAGAAATAACGGGGCAATAAGGACAAATATTCTAAAGAAGAATAAGGGGGGAATGTAAATAATAGATTACCGTTACGTAATCGCTATAAAAAAAAAAGGGAGAGGAGTATATATTGTGTGTGTATGTGTGTTATGTTTTGCTTTGTTTTGTTGATTAAAAGAAAATAATAAAAAAAAACAACTGTGGCAAGAAAGATCCTAAAATGAGTCCATATTCGCAAAGCAACGGTCTTGCTTAGCAACAGAACTGTTGGTGATCAAAGGCTGGCCCCCAAGGACACCACAACCATCATAAATAGAGCCGGTTGCCAAGCAGTTGAATTTCGGTCACGTGACCACGGAGAAGCGGCAATGTTTTTAAGTGTGAAAAACAGTCAGGTGATTTTTTTTTTAGTTCTGTTGTAACTTCGGTCACTAAGTGAAAGGTCATAAGTTGAGAACTCCCCGTATGTGAGTCTTGCTGTTCGCCCAAATCCTTAAAACAGTGGTTCTCAACCTGTGGGTCGGGACCCCATTTGGGGTCGAACGACCATTTCACGGGAGTCGCCAAACAACCCAGTCCGCCATTTTTTCCCCCCTTTTCCTTAGCTGTGCTACTCTCTTGAATAGAGTCTCATTCTATTGGCTTTCAAAAGCCAATAGGAATTGTCCAGGCTGTCTCTGCCCTGCTGAGCCCGCCAAAAGTCCCATTCTGCAAACGGTGCTGCACCAGTTGAGTAGTCCTCGACTTACGACCGGTTGAGTAGTCCTCGACTTACAACCGGTTGGGGATCGCGGCATTAAAAAGGTTGAGAACCACTGCCTTAAAGGAACCTGTGTAAGATTCTGTTTATAAAACAGATGTAAAGTGAGGCTTGGATGGGAAGAGGCAGGGTAACATCTTCAGCTGAGTTTAGGGGATGTCAGTGTCCGTGCTCTTCTGTCTATAAGGGCCTCAGGTGTGGGTGTGTTGAGTGGGGGTCTTGCGATGGGTCAGGTGTGCGTTATCAGTGAGAGGCTGGTGATGGGTCTTGTGATGGGGAGGTTAAGGTCATTGGAAAGTGAACTGCTGGTGGGAGGAGGAATGGAATGGAATGGAATGGAATAGAATAGAATAGAATAGAATAGAATAGAGCTGGAAGGGACCTTGGAGGTCTTCTAGTCCAGCCACCTGCTCAAGGAGAACTGCCTGTATCAGGATCCCTCATTCCATTATTTTAGCAATGGTTGGAAAAAGGCTAGAGCAGGGGTCTTCAAACTTGGCCCTTTTATGACTTGTGGACTTCAACTCCCAGAATTCCTCAGCCAGGCATATTGGCTGAGGAATTCTGGGAGTTGAAATCCACAAGTCATAAAAAGGCCAAGTTTGAAGATCCCTGGGCTAGAGACTAAGAATGTAACTTGTATTGTTAAGCAAACAAATTAACCCAGGCAACACGATGTTTATTAAGCACTAATCAAAGGTAATAATAGAAAATTAATAAAAAAATTGGAAAAAAAACCCCACCTGTCTCTGACCCTGGGTCTTCAATTACACTTACCGGCTCGCAGGTGCACACCACACAGTGCATAATGCCAAAGGGTTCCCCTAAATCAGGATGCCAGGAATCCTCCAAGGTGTAGGACCGGCCACCGAAGTAACATCCTACAAAGGAAAAGAATCCTGAGTGCTCCAGAAAATGGTGCATTGAACTGGCTGCCACACCTACTAAATCAGGTGTTTCTCATAAACTTGGCAACTTGAAGAAGACTTGTGGACTCCAAGAATTCTGGGAGTTGAAGTCCTCGTGTCTTAAAGGGGCCACGTTTGAGAAACACTGCACTAAATCGAGCAAGTGAATAATAGGCCCATTCTCTGGGTTTGCACCACAGGTGAGTTGCTAAATTCACCAAAAAGGTTTGCGTAAAATGTAAGCCACACACATACGCACAAAATGATTTTGCACAAGGCTCAATTTGATCTAAGGCAGGGGTGGGGAACCTGGGCTCTTTTATGGCTCGTGGACTTCAACTCCCAGAATTCCTGAGCTAGCATGGCTCAGCTTGGAAACTTCTCCTTTTCCCCTCAGCATGGCTGGCTCAGGAATTCTGGGAGTTGAAGTCCACGAGTCATAAAAGAGCTAAGGTTGCCTATCCCTGGCCTAGGCCTGTATTTTTCAACCTTGGCCACTCGGAGATGGGTAGACTTCAACTCCCAGAATTCCTGAGCCAGCATGGGGGAACTATGGCCCCTTCATGACTCGTGGACTTCAACTCCCAGAATTCCCAAGCCAGCATGGGGGAACTATGGCCCCTTCATGACTCGTGGACTTCAACTCCCAGAATTCCTGAGCCAGCATGGCTCAGCTTGGAAACCTCTCCCTTTCCCCTCAGCATGGCTGGCTCAGGAATTCTGGGAGTTGAAGTCCACGAGTCCTAAAAGAGTCACGGTTGCCTACCCCTGGTCTAGGACAGGGGTCTCCAAACTTGGCAACTTGAAAACCTGTGAGATTTCAACTCTCAGAATACCTCAGCCATGGCTGACTGAGGAATTCTGGGAATTGAAGTCCACCAGTCTTCAGGTTGCCAAGTTTGGAGACCTCTGATTGATATGACTCACAGAGAAGACTTCCTCTTTTTCACTTGGGACCTCTTCAGATATTTTTGGATAAATAAAATATAGGAGCTGATATCCACCTATTCTGGAAACCAATGGTTGCGACAGAATGCTAATCAGTTTTCTTAGTCTAAAGCAGCAATTCTCAATCTTGGCCACTTTAAGATCTAGGCCTTCAACTCCCAGACTTCCTGGCTGGGGTATTCTGGGAAATGAAGTTCACCCATCTTAATGTTGCCAAGGTTGAGAAACTCTGTTCCAAAGCAGGAGTCCCCAACCTTGGCAACTTTAAGACTTGTGGACTTCAACTCCCAGAATTCCTCTGCCATGGCTAAGTGAGGAATTCTGGGAATTGATGTCCACAAGCCTTAAAGTTGCCAAGGTCGGGGACCCCTGTTCTAGTGGTTAAGGCATCAGGCTAGAAACCAGACAACTGTGAATTCTAGTCCTGCCTTAGGCATGAAAGCCAACTGGGTGACTTTGGACCAATCATCAGGAGATTGTGAGTTCTAGTCCCGCTTTAGGCATGAAAAAAATCTGGTGGGGTGACTTTGGGCCAGCCACTTTCCCTCAGCTCAACCCACCTCACAGGGGTGTTGTCGTCAGTAAATCATTAAGGCATGTTCACCACTTCGAGTTATTTATAAAAATAATAAAGGTGGTAAATATATAAACAAATACAGACATGCATACATACATTAATAAGCAAAACTATTGATCTGTATGACAAAATCCATAGGACCACTAGAGGGCAGCCAAGAGATGTGGAATCATCCATCATTTTTGCTGCCATCTAGTGGTTCTTTATATTTCTGCTGCCCATATCTGGTAGACCTCATAGTAAGCATGCCAATTACAGCCTTGGAAGCTGCCTATAACAACAGGGGTCTTCAGCGTGCCTGGCTGAGGAATACTGGGAGTTGAAGTCCACAAGTCATAGAAGGGCCAAGTTTGAAGACCCCTGCCTTAACCACTACACCAGGGGTAGGCAACCTTGGCTCTTTTATGACTCGTGGACTTCAACTCCCAGAATTCCTGAGCCAGCATGGCTCAGCATGGAAACCTCTCCATTTCTTCTCAGCATGGCTGGCTCAGGAATTCTGGGAGTTGAAGTCCACGAGTCATAAAAGAGCCAAGGTTGCCTCTGCACTACACCAAGCTGGCTCTCAACTATTTTGTAAGATTAGTGTTAATCTTATTTCTCCCCTCTTTTCTTTTTAGTCTCCAGAAAACTAGGAAGGATTCCCCCTGAAAGACTTTTCATACTTTTTCCCTAACTGGGGAGTAAGTTGCCGTTTATCACACCATTGCCTACACTGTAAGCCTTCCTCCTGTTTCCCCAAGGTCCTTCCCACATACCCTTACGCTGTCCCATCCCGTCCCATCCCATCCCAACAGTCCCGAACTGGAGAGGAAACAACCTACATGCTTGCTACTTTATCCTTATCCTGCTCTTTCAAGCCCCCCCCTCCAAATACCCATTTAAAGCCAGGAATCTCAGCTGATCCAGATCACCCGATCCTGCAGATTCTACTCTTTTATCCTCCTCTTGGGAAGCATTCCTTTGAATCGGGATTTCCCCAAGAATTTAGCCCTCAACCTGGTTATTATTGTCAAAGTGAAAATATAACAGAAAACAGAATTGGAAGGGAGGGACCTTGGAGGTCATCTAGTCCAACCCCCCTCTGCTCACGTAGGTGATCCTATACCATTTCAGACAAATAGTTGTCCAATCTCTTCTTAAAAACCTCCAGTGATGGAGCACCCACAACTTCTGGAGGCAAGCCGTCCCACTGATTGATTGTTCTCATTGTTAGGAGATTTCTCCTTAGTTCTACACTGGTGGTCTCCTTGATTAGCTTCCACCCTTTACTTCTTGTCCTGCCTTTAGGTGCAACAGCAAAAAAAAAAAAAAAAAAGGATACAGTATTTTGGTCCATACAGGGAGTTTATATTTTTTTTATTCTTGCTAGAATTCAAGCAGAACGACAAAAAGATGCCTACACTACGGTTACTAGTATCTGGAGACACTGACTAGCTATGCCAGTGGTTCTCAACCTGTGGGTCGGGACCCCATTTGGGGTCGAACGACCATTTCACGGGGGTCACCAAACAAGGCTGTCCGCCATTTTTTCCCCCTTTTCTTTGGCCACGCCCCTGGCACCCAGTGATGTATAAGTGGTTGGGGGTCACCACAACATGGGGAACTGTATTATGGGGTCGCGGCATTAGAAAGGTTGAGAACCACTGATCTATGCTGTATTCATACAACCCACTTACTCAGACCCGTTAAAGGCTTACAGCCACTGCTGCATTTACATAAAGCACTGCACATTATATATTGCGCAAAGCACAATTTGTGTGAAATTGGCCCATTTAGTTTGTCTAGGATTTGTCTATGGTGCAAACCCAGAACAAGGTCAATCCAGCTGCAGTTAAACATCTGGCCAGGATGGAGCTGGAGGGGTTCACCTCTGGATACACATCGCATCATCAAGGATCATTCTCACGAATGAAGCCAAAATAAGAAGCTAAAATTAAAGGTGAATATCCAAGACGGGCAAAAGAAAAAAAAAAGAACCTGCGTTCACCTAATTCAACCTTTTCTATACCCTGCACCCTTACAACGCCTCCGATATATTCTCGCACCCCTTACAAAAAGTTCGAAATAACGGCAACGAATTATGCATATACACCATAATTTTGAAAACCCACGTTTTTGCACCTCCTGGACTATCGTCTCGCCCCCCCCCCCGGGGAACCCCTGATCTAATTGATTTCAGTGACCGAAGGGGACCCATCTCCCATCTGTTCCCCCTCCCGCGTTTAAATTGCAAACAAGTTGCCCCCACCGTCGCCTCGGGAATCTTTCCCCCACATCCATCAGAACTCCGAGGGTGCATCCGAGTCTGCTCTTCACACGTTCAGAGACACACCGTCAGGCGGAAAGAACGGAAGAGGGTCGCGTTGACCGAGTCAGCGGAGCGGAAGAACCGAAGAACGGAAGGGATCTTGGAGATCTTCTAGTCCAACCCCCCGCTCAAGCAAGAAAGCCTATACCAGGAGTAGGCAACCTCGGCTTTTTTGACTCATGGACTTCAACTCCCAGAATTCCTGAGTCAGCTATGCTGACTCAGGAATTCTGGGAGTTGAAGTCCATGAGTCATAAAAGAGCCGAGGTTGCCTACCCCTGGCCTATACCATTTCAGACCAAGCGTTGTCCAGTCTCCTCTTAAAAACCTCCAGCGATGGAGCACCCACAACTTCTGGAGGCAAGTCGTTCCACCGGCTAACTGTTCTGACTGTCAGGAAAATTCTTTTTATTTCTAGGTTGGTGCTCTCTTCACTGATCTCCCCGTTGCTTTCTTCTCCTGCCCTCAGGTGCTTTGGAGACTAGGGGGACCCCCCCTCCTCTCTGTTGCAACCCTCAAATATTGGATCCGACGGCCACACAGACGGTTTGCGGGTTGGTCCCCCCCTCTGGCAACAATCTCTGCCTCCAGGCGCCACTTGGGCGCACCCGGGCTCCGCGCCTCCCCGAAAGCACTGCGCTTCTCGGGGTTAGACGGCGGTCTCGCTCCTTCCAGCGCAAACTCCGCGCCTCCACGACCCACCGGCTCACAGCCGCCCCCTGCCCCGAGATCGGCGGGGCTCCAGAGCCAGCGGCGAACCGGGAGGAGGGTGAGCGCCGAGTCCCTCCACATGTCGTCCCTTTCCCCCGACCTGGCTGTCACGGATCGAGCGCAACGCCCGGGAAAGCGCTCAGGCCATCGCAACCAGGTGGAGAAAGCTCGGATCCCGCCAACCGCGCCGAGAGAGCGGCCCGGATTCGCCCTCGGAGGGACACGACAGCCGCCTTCCAATACTTGACGGGCTGCCAGAAAGAAGAGGGGGGGGGGGAGTCAAGCTATTCTCCGAAGCCCCTGAAGGCAGCACAAGAAGCGACGGATGGAAACTGACCAAGGAGAGAAGCAACCTGGAACTAAGGAGAAATTTCCTGACAGCGAGAACAAGTAACCAGTGGAACGACCTGCCACCAGAAATGGTGGGTGCTCCATCCCTGGAGGCTCTCAAGAAGAGACTGGACAACCGTTTGTCCGAAATGGTATGGGGTTTCCTGCCTGGAGCGGGGGAGAGGGTTGGACTAGATGACCTCCAAGGTCCCTGCCAACTCTTCTGTTCTTCTGCATCCGGGCGCAAAGGCCGCCTCCCGCCCAGAAACTCGCTCCGCTCGGAGGCTCCTACCTTGCGCGCCCTTGGCAGGCAGCGGTTCCGCCGATTCGGGCTGGATGAGCAGAAGGGTCTTGGCGGGACCCACGGGCGACCCCGGGCCCGGCCACGCGAGGGCGAGGGGCAGCAGCAGAAGCAGCAGCAGCGGCAGCACCAGCTCTGCGCCCAGGAGGCTCATCGCGGCGAGACGATCGCGGATCCCGGAGCGAATGACCGCCCCCTCTGGACCAGCCCCGAGCCCGGCCGGGTTTTATAGGCTCCGGCATCGGCCGAGCCGACCGGAGGGCTATTTCTTGAGCAAACAAAGGCGAAGACTGCAGATCACAGGCCCAGCGGGGGGGGCGCTCAACACCGCCGCGGGGGGCCGGCGGGCGGGGGGGGGGCGACTGTGCGCTGGAGGATAGAGAAGGGGGGGAGTCGCGGCTGTAGCCGGGACGGATCGGGCCCCTCCCGCCGCCTCCGCCCCTTCCCGTCTCCTCCGCGGGCGAAGCCCCCCCCCCGAGCAAGGGGACCCCGAGGGTCCGACGGCTAGCCTAAGGTGGAGAGGCGCGAGAGAAAGCCCCCCCCCAAACCCCCAAGGCGCGCATCTCTGGCCTTCCTTCGCCCCCCCCCACTCCAACGGAACAACCGTGTGACTACACAACTGCAGCGGCTCACTTAACAAGGGTGGCGAGAAAAGTCGCGAAATGGGACAAAGCTCGCTTAACAGCTGTCTCGCTTAGCGACAGAAATTTTGGGCTCAGATGCGGTCGTAAGGCAAGGACTACCTGTACTTCCCTCTGTACTTTTCCCAATTATACTTTAAGCTTTTGGTGTGTGTGTGTGTGTGTGTGTGTGTGTGTGTGTGTTTTTAAAAGAGGTGGGAGAAGAAAACTGGTCTGGAGAAATGGAGAGAGGAGCAAATTGGAAAAGAAAATTTGATTCCAGAGTTGAAATAAAGTAAATTTACGTTCAAGATATAAAAAGAATAACTTCTCCTTTGGGTTCTCCTGCTTTCTTGACGAGAGCAAAAATGTTCTGTGCTGTTGGCCATCTTTTTGTGTTCGCCTTTCTTGGTATAACTTGAGTTCTGTGGCTTCGGGGTAGTTTCTGACTCCCGTGGAGATATTAACCAGTCCTAGCCCTGCTGAGCTTCCGAAGCTAGAAAGATCCTGCTGATCTCTGATAAACTCTACCTCAGTGTTTCTCAACCTTGACAATTTTAAGGCATGTGGACTTCAACTCCCAGAATTCCACAGCCAGCAATGCTGGCTGTGGAATTCTGGGAGTTGAAGTCCACATGCCTTAAAATTGTCAAGGTTGAGAAACACTGCTCTACCTGCTACAGTCTGTAAAACCATGTGTTTTTTTTTTCTTTGCCAGCTTTTCACCAGCTCCCAGCCCTTCCTGAATGTGGAGACCCTGTTTCTAAAATTGAATGGGCAGCCTTAGGGTGACACTTCCAGTGGGACACCAGGATGGCCTAGAACACAGAATGGGAGAGGCGAGGGGCTGAGATGGGGATGCTGTGGGAGAGGTCCTTCTTAGACTCTCAGCAAAAACTGGAGAAAGATCCTATCCCGGGAAGCAGGGAGTGGACTGGAATGAACAGCACTTAGGCCAATAAAGTTTGGTGGGAACAGAGAGCTTGTTTGGATTAACTGAAGAGGAGGAGAAGGAGAATGAGAAGAAAGGAGGAGGGGGAGAGGAGGGGTGGGGGAGGGGGATGGGGAGGAGGAGGGGGGAGAGGAAGGAGGAGAAAGAAGGGGGAAGAGGAGAAGGAGAAGAAGAAGGAGGAGAAGGAGAAGAAGAAAGAAGGAGGAGGGGAGGGGGAGGAAGAGGAGGAGAAGAAGGAGAAGGAGGAAAAGAAGGAGAAGAAAGGAGGAGGAGGGGAGGGGCATGGGGAGGAGGAGGGGGGAGGGGAAGGGAGGGGCATGGGGAGGAGGAGGAGAAGGAGAAGAAGGAGAAAGAAGGAGGAGGAAGAGGAGAAGGAGGAGGAGGGGAGAGGGAGGGGCATGGGAGGAGAAGGAGAAGAAGGAGGAGAAAGAAGGAGGAGGAAGAGGAGAAGAAGGAGGATGAGGAGGAGAAGGAGGAGAAGAAGTAGGAGGAGGAGAAAGAAGAAGGAGGAGGGGAGGGGGAGGAAGAGGAGGAGGAGAAGAAGAGAGAAGGAGGAGGAGAAGAAGGAGGAGAAGGAGAAGAAAGAATGAGGAGGAGAAAGAATGAGGAGGATGGGAGGGGGTGGAGGAAGAGAAAGAAGGAGGGGAGGGGAGGGGGAGGAAGAGGAGGAGAAGAAGAAGAAAGAAGGAGGAGGAGGGGAGGAGGAGGAGGAGAAGGAGAAGAAAGAATGAGGAGTACGGGAGGGGGAGGAGGAGAAACAAATAACCAATCATTGTGGGGACTTGGAATTTAGAATGAAACAAAGGGTAGAAGATATGTCTGGCTTCACATAGCAGGCTTAACCAGGCCAGACTGGTGGGTGAATTCACCCAACATGCCATGCCATGGTTAGCTTTAACAAGGCTTATTTCTTTGTCTCTTTCTTTTTTTCTCTCTCTTTCTAATTTAGCTGGAAACCCAGGGTAAGCCAATTGTTTGAATGCAGCCTCTGTGTTCCCCTGGAAAGGTTCAGAGAGTGTTGATTGATGGCACAATACTCTTAAACTTTCTGGGAAGTTACCACTGTCCCTGCCCGCAAAGAGAGGGGAAGCGTGTTGAATGTCCAGGGCAGCTGCCCTAGAGCCACATGAAATGATGTAGCCATAGCACTTAGACTTCTCTACCGCTTCACAGGGCTTTACAGCCCTCTCTAAGCGGTTTACAGAGTCACCTTATTGCACCCCCCCCCAACAATCTGGGTCCTCATTTTACCGACCTCAGAAGGATGGAAGGCTGAGTCAACCTTGAGCCTGTCGGGATCGAGCTCCTGGCAGTCGGCAGAGTCAACCTGCAATATGCCTTCTAACCACTGCGCCACCAGGGCTCATAAACCAGGATGTCTTCCACTCATGTCCTTAAGAGGGACATGTGAACCCAGTCCTGGTAGGTACAAAAAAATAAATAAAAAAAAATCAGGTCAATATCTTGCTACATCAGCAGAACATTAGTTCCTGCTAAGGTGAACTGTTATGGAAAGTTTCTAGCCGCTACTTAAAAAGAATAATAGCATTGTAACTGAAGGTTCCACAGGCTCCCATTTGCAGCAAAAAAAAAATTAAAAAAAAATAAAATGAAGTTGCTGCTCAGGTTTAGGAAGGGTTTTGCTTAACTTCCCACCTTTCATGCAGAAAAGTAGGATATTCTAAAGCCTTGAAGCCTGCCTGCCATGTTTTTAAGCTGGAGTTTATGTGATCTGCTGGAGAAATTCATAACTGTTTTACATGTGGTTGGTTTTAGCTGGCCTCTTCCTTTTTCTCCTGCGGGACACGTTTTCTGCAAAACGGACAGAGAGAGAGAGAGAGAGGGAGAGAGAGAGAGAGAGGGAGAGAGAGAGAGAGGGAGAGAGAGAGAGAGAGAGAGAAACACACACACACATAGAGAAGAGAGAGAGAGAGAGAGAGAGAGAGAAACACATACAGAGAAACAGAGAAACAGAGAAAACACACACAAAGAAAGAGACAGAGGAAGAGAATGAGCGTGAGAGAGAAAAGAAAGAGACAGAAACAGGATGAAAGGGACAGAGTGAGAAGCACACACACACACACAAGCAGAGAGAGAGAGAAACAGAAAAACGGAGAGAGAAAACACACACACAAAGAAACAGACAGAGGAAGAGAGTGAGTGTGAGAGAGAAAAAGAAAGAGACAGAAACAGGATGAAAGAGACAGAGTGAGAAGCACACACAGAGAGAGAAACAGAGAAAAACGGAGAGAGAGAAAAACACAAAGAAATAGAGACAGAAAGAGAATGAGTGTGAGAGAGAGAAAGAAAGAGACAAAAACAGGATGAAAGAGACAGAGTGAGAAGCACACAGAGAGAAAGAGAGAGAGAGAAACACAGAAAAACAGGGAGGAAGAGAGAAAAAACACACACAAAGAAACAGAAAGGAAGAGAGATAAAGAGAGAGTAAGAAAGAAAGAAAAGAGAGAGAGACAGAGACAGAGACAGAGAGACGGGGGGGGGGGGAAGGCTGGAGAATGCCAAGCATCCATCCATATTAGCTGGAGGAGTGGGAATTTTCTAGTTTTTGTGCAGTCAAGCCTCCAACGTGCAAGGTAACAGCAGTGAGGTGAGAGCGAAAGGGGCCAGGAACTGACTTGGTCAGCATGGGAGTGAACCAGCTGTGTTTTGTCTATAACACATGGACTTTATTATTTTCCTCATCTTCGGCATGAAAACACTCCAGCATGACCGAGCAATGTGTTGGAATGATGAGGAAACTTCCTGTAAAATAATGGGGAGGGAGGGAGGGAGAGAGAGAGGGGGGGGGGGTAAAACAGGGAGAGAGAGAGAGAGAGAGAGAGAGAGAGAGAGAGAGAGAGAAGGAAGGGGGGGGATATATGCCAGGTGTCCTGTAGCAAGATTTGGGGAGATGTTATTTATTTTATATCCCTAGGATTCTTGTTCCCATCTCAAAGTATGTTTAAAAGACAATAAACCTTACAGTCTTTGTTTATAGACTTCGATAAAAAGTTCCAGATTCTTTTCTTGGTTAAAAAAAAAAAAAAGGCTTGATTTTTCGTTCTTTTGGGGGGGAGGTGGTTTTTTTTGGGTGCATTTTAGCTTTGTTAATAAAATAAAAAAATACCCCCCCCCAAAAAAAAAGGCTCAGAAAGGAAAGATTGGGCTGGCGGGAAGGAATAAGGTAGCCCTCTTCCTACACAGCTAGTCCTCAACGTACAACCACAATTGAGCCCAACATTTTTGTTGTTAAGTGAGACCTTTGTTAAGCGAGTTTTGCCCCATTTTACAATCTTTCTTGCCACTGTTGTTAAGGGAATTACTGCAGTTGATGAATTTGTAACCCGGTTGTTAAATGAATCCTGGCTTCCCCACTTTGTCAGAAGGTCACAAAAGCGGATCACACGACCTTGGGACACAGCAACGGTCATAAAATATGAAGCAGTGGCCAAGTGTCTGAATTTTGATCACATGATTGTGGGGATGCTGCGAAGGTCGTAACTGTGAAAAACGGTCAAGTAGCACACATAGTTTAATGAAGAGAAGGACGGGGGGGGGGAGGACAGGATAGCAGTGTTCCAATATCTCAGGGGTTGCCCCAAAGAAGAGGGAGTCAAGCTATTCTCCA